TTCCTTGATATGATTTGTTCTATTGTCAAATATTGAAATAAGGTCATGTACAATTTTCCGAAAATATGAGTAGTTTTCTTGGAATTTTGCGTGACATTGAAGCGATTTTTAAAGTTCTAAAACATTTGTTTCCTCGAAAAGGACACCAATTTTTTTAAAATTTTCTCCTCGTATGTGTTGAAGAACGGTAAAAAGCTAATGTTAGTTCCATTTTCGGTGAAATCTGTGTATTTTCCAAAATATTGTAAATTTAAGTAGTATCTCTGAATGTTGGAAAATTGCCTTTTGGTAATATTGGGTTGAGATAATTCGTATTTTATGCGTCGGCCAGAGTCGGAATGTCAGATATTTTTCATAGCGTACAGGTAAGATGTAAGTAAACTGGGAGAACCTAAATTCGAGTGTGGTTCTCTCCAAGGAGAGGAAAAAATTCCTCCTGGTTGAAAACACTCTTGCAGGGTCATGTAGTAGTAGCAGCAGTAGTATAATACTGCGTAGCAGTTACTAATATTGCGAGAAAATATGTGCTGTTGTAACACAAATAGTCAAATATTTGAAACTAATATATATTTGTGATAAAAGTCGGAAATAAAAATGAAATTTCTCCTGATAATTTATTCTAATCTCAGTTTCTACTGCCTATTTAATAAAATTTAACGCTTATTTTTGCGTATTAAGTGCAATTTTTAGTTGCCTAAATGGCAGATTTTAGAGCTTACGTATTGGAAGTCTTCAAATAAATAATAAAGTGAATATAAATTATATACATGCTAAAAGTGTTCCTTATTTAAAATTGCGACGAATATTACGTATTACATCTCATTACATATGTTACAAGAACTGTATGAGGTCTTCTTCAGTGATTTTGGAACGAGTGACTAATTACGTGCTTCTTGTTTTACTCATATATCTACTTTGATAGAGGGCATTTTCGATACAATGGTATTCACTCGTATCTCACTGTGGCATGCACTGAACCTCTTTTGATTAATAAGACAAGACTATTGCTAATATTAAAAAATTGTTTGTAATAGTACGTAGAATTATCTAGTAGGCTTCTTACAAGAATATTGTAATTCAATATTTTTGGTGGAGAAACCTCTGCAACTGTATTCTTGTGCCGCATGAATTTCCTGCGTTGCCAATGTTAGATTTGAGTAATTCATTTGGGAAATGGTTTTACTACAATGCAAGTGAGAGGAGTGTGTGTGTATGAGTGTGTATACTTGAACAGTACTTACAACATCTCTCTCGTACTCTTTCGAAACATTGCACCATTTCCATGAACATTAGACGAGGAAAAGTGTTTCAAAAGTTTATTTCCATTGTGAATGAAAGTAAATACATACTCACTAGCTGGACCTGAGCGAAAACTCTAGTACAGCTAGTGTATATTATTGTTTTAAGAGTGAAAATTGCTTCGTAGTAGAATCCAACATTGAACGGCCTCAACTGTGCCTTACAGACTTGTAGGAGCGGATCAGTGCGCAAGAAACATTTCTAATATTTCTAAGCGTTGAGATTAAGTTACGAAGAAAAATATAGTGATGTAAACATTTTTCTCTTTCTCACTCATTCGTGTAGTTCTAGAAAAAAGAAAAAAATGCATGATTCTCATTCTAGCGTTTCTTATCATTATACTGTACATCCAAAGCAGAAAGGTAATGCGAACCAACAGACACCAGTGTGAAGGAAGCGGTCATTAAATTATGAATTGGTTGGGTTGATATTGAATTTCTTGCGTGAATTCTTTGTAACTACAAAACATAAATGGAAATTGGCAAATAATAAGACTTTTCTATCGGTATGGGTAACTAGAAAACAAACGAAAATGCTTTTAGAATTTACTGGGCTAGTTCAGTCTTCTTTTCAGAGATACGCATACATTTCTGCGTAATTTAGATAGGTCTAGCGCGATAATGTCAACATGTGGGGTTCAAGGAAAGAAAATATTGCCAGTTTACCACACTCTTGAGAAACACCAGAGGCAATTTGGGAATATACTTAAAATTAGCATAAGTAACATGTACCATCAGCTGATTGATTCCCCTTTTGCGTAGTCCCTTGCTTCGCATTGCTTAACGCTGTCTGCATTTAGAAACACTTCCTATGGCAAAACCCTGCCATTTCGCACGCGGGCTTATGCACCACGGAACCTTTAACGGCTGACAGTCGTGAGAAAAAACAGCTGAAAACTGAGTAGCGTGCAATTATTACATTCCGAAGCACTCATATTAGCATGTTACCTTCGTGCTTTCGTGCGCTCAGAGGAAAAATTATCGCCGAAGACCTACTGGACCAAATGCGTGTTCCACGCAATATTGATGTAATTGAAGATGTGTAGTAGTTCGACGGGCGTATGCCAATATTCGATTTCATTTCTGCACTTAACTTATATTACGATTTTCGCGGGGTATACAATAAATGAAAAGAGAGAGGGGCATAATTATGTACCTTTCTTATGAAAAGCATTCTTCATTTCAAAATACAATTGCAAATAGTCGTATATTACCGCATGTATAATTAATAATTAAGGTCAATCAAGAGCCAAATAGTCCACTGCCTTGAACACATTGGGTTTAGTTGCACATTTCATTAATAATATTTATGATTAATTCTAAATTTTTAATTCTGTTTACCCCGAGCACAGTTCCTACCCATTCATTGGAGTAATGAAAGAGTAGCGTTTTCAGCCAATTATTTTCATTACAATAACTGACAAGTGATACTGAATATATTTGTTTTATTTTATAATAAATACTTGAGTAACCCTTGCTTCCGTAGTATATAATAAAACCAATGCTTACGTAGAATATAATAAAAAAATACCTTCGAAGCGATAGACTTTGAACTAACAAAAGCATATTCTAGGTTCCGTATGTGCTCGAGTTGAAAATGGAGGACATATTGTACTTCAGTAACGTATGCGTAATAGAATGTTTTCACTGACTTAGGTATTTTTTATAGTTTTGCTTGCAAATACAGTTATGAGTTTTCCAAATGCAAATATAGCAATAAAATACAAAATCCCAATTCCAGATTACAATAGTTCTCCGAATATATAATCCCCAAAAAGAAAAAGAAAAAAAAATCAAGAAAATGTATCACGTTTCGTACTATTTTACCACATTGTACAGAAGTAGAATATCATTTCCTGGATAATGGTTAAAAGCATCCAGATGGCATATTGAGGTTACTAGACGATAGATTTGCCGCAAAAGTAAGAATAATTCGTGGTTGCGGGTCATTGTGAGAAGACGTCCTCGTGGAAACTATTCGGTATTTTCTCGCAAACTATCTTTTATTATAAAACTGTACCAAACACAATTCCAGGAGCTTTAAGCATTATCAGCGGTAATCCATTTACGCGGGAGATTGCTCTTAATCATACCTTGTTCATTGCGAGGCTTAGACATGCTGAAAAACTACACATTTTAGTATGATGGAGAAGAGCAAGTGCAAATAGTACAGAAAGGATTTTTTAACCGTTTCACTACTGAAGGATATGCAATTCATATGCTGAAGGAAAACAATTTATATCACACACGAGTCATTATTTTTTGTCTCTTGATTAATATCCATTTTTCTTAGACTTACGTGTTTAAGTATGTTCTAAAAGACAATAAAAATTAAAATGATGTAATAATATATTTGAATGTATTTCTCAATACGTTTTAATGAAGTATACTATTTTATTTACATGTGGTGGAAATTTATTCGTATTATTCATATCGTTTTTTTGAAATATATTTCCATAAAATATCAGTTGAAACGAACATGTTTACAAACTGATACCATTAAACGATATTTACAGAATATATTGCACGTTAATACGAATACTATGACGAAAGCTGTATCCAAGAGAGACGAGCAATTAGAACGAGGAGCAGGGTGAAGGGAGGGGAGAGCACGAGGGGAGTGAAGAGGAGGGGGAGGGACGGGAAAGAGACCGACGAATCCTGGAGATCGCAGTGACTCCGAAGTGGCTGCACATGGACTCAACACGCACGTCCCCTCATCGCCAGGCACATGTCGGCGCTCGCTCGTGCTTTGCACGTAGGTATTGGCCAGTTTGCGGTAGAGGTATCCCTGATACAGCGCTATCCGTGCAAAATATTTAATTTTCTTTCATATTTTACATTAAATCAAAACACCACAATTATATTCCGAAAATATTATTATTATTATTATTATTATTATTATTATTATTATTATTATTCGTTATACATTTGTGAAGAACATTGCGTTTGCATGGTATATGTGTATATTTTGCTTCGAGATATTTTGTTTTTGTGACATATTTCTCATATCTCCCTCACCAAAATGCAAACTAGTTGTATATTTTTAGATGTATTTGCTTATCAGAAATGATCATTTGTAAATCAGATTTACGAATATACTCCAACGCCCTCATTCGTCATTCGCCCTCATTCGTCATTTTCTCTACACACCAATAATTTTTCTAAAGCACATCTTTGCAGGGAAGATAAAACGTATAAGCGCCCCTCTATTACGAGCAAAGTACCTGTTGACAGGGAACTCTTTTTCTTGATGTATTTATAAAAAGTATGGATTATTTTGCAGCAGATAGTAAATGTTTTTGAAGAAAAACTACATGGTTCCAATCTCACAAAAAAGGACATGTTTACGTGAAATCTCAGATATAATAAACATAAATGTAACGATTTCTGCTAATGTTCCCACGCTTGATATTTATTAGCGAGTTGTAGATCTGAATCCAAATATTCGTGATATTTTGTGGTATTATTCAAAAACAGACCTTTTCCTACTGAGGATAAATAAAGACTAATTTTCTTTCTAAACTGTGCGTATTTACATATTATTTCGCTATAGAACTAAGAGCATCATGTAGTCATAATTATGATATTATATGTTCTTTAACCCTTTTGATATCAACATGGTTGCGTGTAATTAATAAAAAAGTATTTGCATATTATCGATTTCATTCGTTCTTACGATTGACTTGATTGTTACAGACAATGTCGACGCCTGGAATCGAATTGCTGACACGCAATGGATTCGACTCCGTGCAAAATAATCGCCGAGAGTCAATAGACCCAAGAAAAGAGTCCCTGAGCTCGCAAACCACCGACGAGAGAAACTGGTCATGGAAATACCTCAGGGTGAGTATATTGTGCATTTGTCTCATTCTTGGTCGTTGAGCAACATTTAGAATTAACCATTGTACCTAATCATGAAGGCTTCATGTTAGAAATATAAGATTTCTCATATTTCCTATGGTTAAATGACAGCAAAGAGCTACCTCTCTGCACAGAGCAATTTGGTTTAATACTCCACCGTTTAATACCAACCGTATTCTGGGAGTTGAACTGACATTTCATTAATTAGATCGCTGGTGAGGTAGATACCTTCTAATAAGTAAATATGGTAAATTAAAGGTGTTGTCCGGTATCAAAAATGTATTTTGCTAAAGATCGTTTCGATCACGTAGCGATCACCCTCAGAGCTTCCAGCTTCTGGGCCGAAAACAAAGTTGTTGACACTGATTAATATAAATTTGTTAAAGGATATTTTTATTTTACTTGTGTTGGTATACACTTTTATCAAGTGGGCCCGGATAAAAGTTTGGCGGGTGGTCCTGCACTTATTTCGTTACGGTGGTGGTTAAGCTGGTGAGAGGTGTGGGTAGGACAAGTTAGAGGAAGGAAAGATCGCGCGAGGTCCGTGGTTCGTTTGTTAAGATACTGGTCCAGCATTCGCCTGATGTTGATCGGAGAAACTATGGGAAAATACCGATCAGAGCTGTCGGACTCTAGAATGCTTCTCCAGACAGCGGCTGATCTCGACGTACCTATCCAACTTGGGCCGAAAGTCCTGCCACTGTCGGGATTAAAAATCCTAGAACCTTCCAGTCAGAAGCACTGCAGTGCTATATGTTGATACCCTGAGCCACCTCAGCCCGTTAGCTTGCGGCAGATTTTCCTCCGTGGCCCGTGGCAATTTTTTTTATAAACTACTCGTAAACTCTCCTGATATTGATTGGAGAAACCACGGAAAACTACCGAGCAGAGCAGTTGTGTCTAGTTATTCTCCTCCCAACAGGATTAAGCTCTCTCCTGCTTTGTAGCTAGTGCCGAAAAACCGCCACAATTGGGATTCGAACATAAGGATGTCCCGATCAACGATAATGTAGGTAACGGGTGCTGCCACTGAGCCATCGTCCCGGTCATTCGACGGGTGTCGCAAAGAAAAACTACTCTGTGATGAATATTTTTTTCGCAATCTGATCACTCATAGCAATTTTCATTCCAAGAAACAAATGAGAAGAGTTTCAATTTTGGATACTTCGTATGGGTTTCGATGCATTTTTAGGAATACAGGTAAAAATGTTCAGCAATCTCTTCAAATAGACATTGTCAAATTGGGTTAAAATGTAAACATTTGAAGCTTAACTAAGCGTAAGTTATATTTGGAATAAAAAAACTATATGTGACCTAAGGTTCTCTCTCTAAAACGAATAATTATTGTAATACGAGTAGAATGACAATGTTTCATTTTATCAGAATTCAATTGATTATGGAATGATGTCTCTTAAAATTAGCGTAATATTTTCTTCCAATTACATCTATTTTTCTGCGGAACTTCTTACATTTTAAATAAAATATTAAATGCATTACGATATTACGGTTTCCTGCATAGTATATCAAAGAATCGCATTTGCATTAAATTATTTTTGGTTTTCATAACTGATAATGAATGGGATTTGATGTTAAATAGTAATACGTTTTTACGCTGACCATGTAATTAATTATCATAGGATTTTTACATTAAGGTACTGTATTCCACCATGTCGGTAGTAGCCGGTTTAGTGATCATCATCTCCTTATTTTTACATTCACGTCTTATTACGTAATTAGTGAAGAGAAAACATTTTAACCGTGCGGCGGAAATTAAAGATTGCTCGACAGAATACTCTTATTGTCGGGTCCTAGGTACAAAAAGGGAATAAATCTGGTTTTATACTTAGTAAATTACTTCCTCTAACATCCTGTTTTTTGGATTCTTGATACCGAAAACCCGATTGACAGAAAAACATTTCTGTCTGTCTGTGGTTAACATAGTACATAAACCGTTCAGACAATTTTCTCAAAATCTTATATTCCGTGATCAATTTGAACGAACTAGAGACCCTGCAAATTTGAAACGGGTATTTTCATTTTTGAGGGTACTTTACATGAAGACTCAATTTCGAAATATTCTGAAAAATGGCTTCAAACTTTTGATTACACTTTGTCGTCGAATAACGTAAAAATACTTTAAAGTCATTTTTCGTTGAAATTTAACTTTTCGTTAAATTCCCTGATTGTTCGAAAATTGCAAAAGTTCAATTTTTTGACGCCGTCCTACAATTACAAAATTGAAGGTAGACATTGTTTCCTGAATGAAATATTTTCTTCGAAGACATCTTTATTTAGTCATATACACTTTTTCATCAATGTTAATAGTTTTTGCTTAATTGTTCGTAAAATATAGGCAATTTATAAAAAGTTGTTTTTTCAAAAGTCAATTTCAAAGAAATTACACGGCTTTAGCAAATGACGCTTAAAAAATGTTGATTCGTTGATTTCTCTACATTTTCAAAATTGCAAATGTTAGAAATAATGCGACAAAATACTATGTGCTTTTGAACCACTAATTTCTGTGTATTGAATTTACACTTTTTTTGTTGAGGTTTATTTGCGGAGAGGCGGCCATTGGACCGAAATTCTGCCCTTGTCTTTTTGTCCCAAGTTCCCTTTACGTTTACCCCAGCCAGGGATCAAGGGGATCTTTGAAACCTACTGTGCCCCATGGAGCGGTCTCATACAATACGCTAACAAACAGGCCACGATATTTCCTACCTCCACCTTGTTCTACCCTCATCCCTTACACGCACGTACACTAACATGCACGTCACTACGTCATATGCCGGGAGACTATGGCGGTGCCCCGCTGGTGGGAGACACCTGTTTAGGGAAACCCTTGCTAGCCGACGACATGTCGGCGCCGGATTACGCCATACAGCGAACGACCACCGCCACCTCCCGATCAAAGCACGCTACACTTACGGGATTGTGACCCGAGTAGCTACGGCATGAAACATTAACAATCAATCAATCATTATGGTTGTAAAGAGCGCACGTTGGTTCAGACACAGAAATATAGATTCTGACTACATCACTTTTAGAGCACCTTTCAGAGTGAACGGGCACCCAAACTCGGGCTATGGAAGACGGTGTTCTATCTACCATCCCACCGAGAGGAAGGGGACATTTACACGACAGTCTATGCCAGTAATGTCTAGGTCGATAACATCAGCGCGAGACCGTGGCAGGGTAGCACGATGAAAGAACCCCTTCACGCAGTTGATCACGTCGTCACAAGAGGGCACTAGATCGTAAAAGTTGCCCTGAATGCTTGTACGCTTTACATGTGAAATACAATTAAGCGGGATTTAGATAAATATATTTAAGAATATAATATTTTATTTATATTTTTACTTTTATTTTTCCGTGCATATACTCTTTTTTACATGCGATTCTACAAAGTTAAAAAGGTGTGGGGTAACTACTGACAGTTTCCTTTCCCGACGCTAGTTGGGCTGAGAAGCTCGTGGCATGCCACGAAGCGAGCCTCTGCCACAAGTATAAGACATTGACTTCAATGATCTATGCTTACTTTTAGAAACTATAAAAGTACGCATTTCACTGTGTTCTGAATGCTGCTGATGCGTCAATCCACATGTAATTGCGGCTATATTCCTCCTAGAGGAATGAGCAGTTCATAGCTTCTTTTCAGTTAAGTAGCTTTTTTCACATTGTGCAAATCTCACATCTTAAGTAGCTTTCAAAACATTGCATAAATATTTAAAGAGTTTTCGATGTAAATGAATTATTCTTATGAAAATTAGTATATTAGTAATAGTCAATTTTATTTAGTATTTTCATAAGGAGGTCAGATTTTTATGGAATATAATGTGTCGTCCACAGCCTGTTGTTCTCGATACGTCTCTCTGATGAAAACGAATCTCGAAGGGAAAGAAGAAGGAGAAAGAGTTGGAAACAAGAAATGCAAACTCTTATAGCCACTAAACAACTTTTTCAAAAATAGAAAGTAAATCATTGTATATTTTATGAACAACTCCAAATATTAATATTATAACTTCACCGTTCTTAATCATTATTATCATAGCTACAGTGTATCGAGTCAAAGTAGACGAATTTTCTTCTGAAGTGTGTGCGTATGCAGATCGTCAATTTTCTGTTGAGCGTACGATCAGGTCACGTACATTTATTTGGCAACTGCCGTCAAGATAGTAATTTACATATCCATGTATACTGGTTTCGTGACCAAATTTTGCCACTATTAAAATCAGGTAGTTTATCGGTTTCTGCCACTAGATTGGTCACCGAAAGCCCCATCGGGCACACGGGACTACATCCACGGAATGAAGTAAAACTTTGGTCTTTCACAACTTACGTAATAATAATTTCATCTACAATGTTAACGACGAAGACGATTGAATTCTGAAATGACAGACCTTTTACTTTCGCGTCCAACTTCGTCAGAAGAGAAAGTATTTTAAGCGTATAAATACTTTGTGGGTCCTCGATACCGAAAAATCCGTTAACGGAAAAACATTTGGCTCTGACGACCACTAGCGCGTAAACTGTTTAGACGATTTTCTCCAAAATGAAAATTTCTCGATCGATTTAATGAAACTTAAGGCTCCCCGAGTTTTCAAAGGGATAATGTGATTTTTGAGTTTCTTTATACGAAGCCTGAACCTTTTCAAAATTTGTCTCACGAATGGTTTCATTTTTTTATTCAAACTTGATCCTCGGAAAGTGTAAAGAACGTTTAAGGAATTGCACACGGTTCTAGTAAATCTAATAAATCTCTGATTTTCCCAAAATTACAAAAGAAATATTGCGAAAAAACGGAAATTTTTCACAGAAAAACTCTTATTGCTAGTTGACTTTGTTTAATGGTATTAATAGATAAAATCTCTAAATTTCGAAAATAAGAAAAGTTAAAATTTTGTAGAGGAGGAAATATTGTAATTGTGTAACAGAAAACGGCGAATTTTCAACAGTACGAGTAAAACTCTTATTGCCGGTCCCTGGTAAGGAGTACGTAAATAAATCTTCTTCCTATATGTAGTAAATTACTTCTTCTAACTCGTTGTGTAGACAGAATCTACGTATTGTATGACCTTGATACTGAAAAATGGATTGAGAGCAAACGCTAGTCTGTCCTTCCGTCAGTGTGCGAACAACCCTAACGGCTAAACCGTCAATAGGATTTTCATCAAAATTGACATTCCCCGATCGACCTGTCTGGTGTCGTGGCCTCTTGAATTTGAAATATATATTTTTGTTTTTGATGGTACTTTATATGAAGCCTCCACAACATTTAAAACTTTTTCTCAAAAATGACTCCCTAACTTTTCTTCACATTGTTTCCTCTGATAGAGCAAAAGAAGCTTCAATAAATGGTGTGAGACGCAAATTTGCAATACTGATATTTTAATATACATAGTGTTTTGTTAAATATTGTTTCATATAATTGAAGTCCAATTTGAAATAATATTTTGATTTTATTTATTGTTTCCGTATTGCATGTACTTTGTACCAATGCAAAACTCGCTTATTTATTTCCTTTTCACAATTTTTTTCTTTCCTTACTCGCTTTCTTAAAAGAACGTTAATAAGTAAAAGATTTCACCAGGACTGTCTAAAATGTATAAGGCAGCTTGATAAAAAAATAACCTGAAATTGTGTATACCTTTTCGATGTACGAATAAAAATATGTGCGCAGCCAATAATATAATCTTTAACAATTACGTTTAGTTGTCAATGAAGGGAATGGAGGTGAATATTCGGAACTAGTGGGGCTACAAGATACATTTTCTCTATTATATGTAACAACTCAAGAATATTATAATACTACATCTACATGCAAAACTGTTTTTTACAATCAACACTTTTTATTGCATATTGGAATTCAAACTCAGTGTTCTTCGAGTTGGCGCTCCGTTCACGTACACCACCAATTTTATAAGTAAGTTCGGACTTCCCAGCAGTTTAAAAAGATCAACATTTGCATTTCCAGTTTTAAAAATTTCTGAAGTCTCAATTTCTTTATTTCAAAATATAAATTTCAAAGAACAGGTTTACTTAAAGAAAGAAAACTCTATCATCAATATTGAAGTTTTTCGATGTTTGCAGTTTTATTGTTTGCAATTTTCTAAATTACATAGTTTGCCGAAAATGAGACATGCGCCATTTTTACGTGCCTTTTGTCCTATATGAGAAAAATTTGGAGACTTTTTGAGTTAAAAAAATGGATTATCAGGAAACAAAAATTGCGCGCAAACAACTCGTTTTCTCAAAACATTGCACAAGACCGCATTTAAGGATCTATATGTAAAAACAGATTTCATTAAAGAAAGAAATATTTAACAAAATTGGGTTTTTGCCATGTTCTTAAAAAAAATTTTGAAAAAGCAGAGAGTTACGAAAGTGAGACTTGCGTCATTTTTAGGTGTCATTTGCTCTATTTGAAAGGAAAAATTAAAAGTTAGAGCCGTTTTTGAGAAAATAGTTGCCTATAAATTGCCTATATTTCACACAAAATGACGCAATTTTTTTCATATTTTGGAAAAATTGTACCTGATTTCAATATATTTCTTTAGAGAGATATTATTCCAAAACAATCTCTATTTTCAGTATGGTAGTGCTAGGAAGACGCCGAAAACAATTTCAACATTTGCAGTTTTCAGAAATGACAACGCAAATGAGACCAGCATAATTTGTACGCGATCTTTGCGCTACACGTGATAAAAAGTTAATGAAATAATTTGAAATTAATTTTAAGAAAAGTTTGGAAATGTCGTCGGGGCTTCATGTAAAGTTCCCCCCAAAATCTGAATATCCGATTCTAACTCGAAGAGAGTAGAGTTGGTCCAGAGCAATCGGGAAATATCAATTTTAGCAAAAATCGTCTGAACGGTTTAAGCGCCAGTGTTAACCAAAACAATGGTCAGATGGACACACGTTTTGCTGTCAAACAATTCTTTGGTATAAAAGGCATAAACTGTGTGACCAAACGTATCCGGACACGTGGCTGAAAGTGACTTACCAGTTCGTGGCGCCCTCCTTCGGTAATGCTGGAATTCAATAGGGAGTTGATCTTAGTCTTTTGACAGTTTCCACTCTCGCAGGCATATTTTCAGTCAGGTGCTGGAAGGTTTCTTGGAGAATGATAGCCCATTTTTCACGGAGTGCTGATCTGAGGATAGGTGTCGATATAGGTCGGTGAGGCCTGGCACGAAGTCGGCGTTCCAAAACATCCCAAAGGTGTTCGATAGGATTCAAGTCAGGACTCAGTGCCGTCCACTCCGCCACAGCCCGTGCAGTATGAACTCGATTTGTTGAAAGATGCAATCGCCATCCCCGAATTGCTCTTCAATAATAACAAGTAAGAAGGTGTTTAAAACACCAACGTAGGACTGTGCCTTGATAATGCCATACAAATCAACAAGGGATGCAAGCCCCCTGCATGAAAAATACGGCCACACCATAACAACATTTTGGACGTGTCCGGATACATTTGATCACATAGTGTGTAACCTTAATTCAGACAACACAACATGTTAGACGTCGTTATTAGCTACATAAAAGAATAAGATTTTTCCACTTTTTCGATATCCCACATTTCGGGCCCCACAATGATTTCGATATCAGTGTTTCCATCGAATAATCTCCCATTTTTGCCGTAACACTACATATTTTCCCTTTACTATGTTGGGGAAGACGAGATTATGAAAACACTCAAATCATTGTTTAAAACAAAAAATGAATATGAAATGCAAAATTGAAGACCTCTTCTATTATTACGATTAACGAAAATGCTGTTACAGTTTTTTCTCAATTGTCCGAGAAACATCTTACAAGAGATCGGCATACTTAGTTAAATGGTTTCGAAATCTGTCGAAACAACTTTACATCACTCATTACAATTTTTTATTAGCCAACTACACATTCTATTAAGGGCAAGGGCCTCCTGCTCGCATAGGGAATTATCAATATTTCTTTAATGAAGTGGTAGGATGATGAAGGGTAAAGGGATGATCGCAAATACACCCATATCCGGGCCGGGATTCGATCCGCGCTCCTTCGACCCGAGATCGCCACGACACTTCTGACGTAGCGATCTCGGCTATCCGGATCGACAGATCATTGCAGTATTTCATAATAAAGAAATATAAGGAGCGTTTAAATAATGATTTACAAAATGCACATATTACACTTTCCCTTAAAACAGAAATTTCGCATTGGAGATGTACGGAGACTATTAGATTTCATTTCAATTCACACATTCTCATAAGTGACATTTTTGTAACAGAACTTACATTTCATGTTTCCTGTTAAAAAATTTCACACTTTCATTCGCTTTCTTGAAATATTAAATGATTTAACACATCGAAAGCAGCTCTTGTAATAACAATATTGTTGGCAATGACAACTCATATAATTATTTGTTTGTTCTTTTCTATTTACATTTGCATTTGTTTTTAAAATACAGAAATTTCCTATTTTTCTTGAAGTTCACTAGCTCTGATCATGGATCACTTATTTTTCCAACTGTCTTTCATAAAGAACTCAATTGAAGAAATATTTTACAGTTCCATTGGAGTTTTCTTCAGTAGTTGATTCACGACATGATTTATTCAAGTTTCTCGGGGATCATTCCGTTTATAGTGTTTCAAGGGGGGAAATCAAGTGTTAATAGAATAAAAGTTGCTATGTTAGAAGATCCTACTAATGAAGATACTATTTTAAACTGCAGTATTAAATAACTAAATGTATTACGTAATAAATTAATATGAGAATGGTGAGTTATTGTAACACTAATATCATATAACTGACCTTCGATTGATCTACAATTACAGCCTAGAGAGGTTACGGCCCACCACAGCCTCCTTGCGTGATGGTTATGGACGCGAGAAACCTGTGGGAAACAGGTCACATCGAAACCACTTATTTGGCATTCTCTACCTGAGAGAAGCTTTCACATTGTCATACCCCTATACTAATTTATAAAATCAATCTTCATTTAATTACTAAAGCGAACTTCATATTAGCGTTCTAAAAATTGGTTGAAAATGTTAAAAATAAAGTCAAACGTAAGTACATAGTTTTATGCAAGTGATGATGTTCAAATGGGACACGTCGTGACAAGAGAAAGCCACACACACTAAAACCCATGGTGAATCCGCCTATACCGTGCGTGGGCTGTGGACCCACGGCGTTCGACTCGCGAACTTGGCCCCTACTCAACTTGGTTATTTGATTATTTCATGTTTCCGGACGCGTCAACGGCTATGTTCATTAGTTCCGTAAGTGTTTTTATCATGGGTTGTTTCGGCGCTCTTGCCCGGTGGATGGTGAGATCCGTCGTCTTGCGGGGATTTTCCCATCCAAGTACCTTCCACCGACGAGCTCTAAGCTCCAGACTGGTGTCCCGGCATGAGTAGTAGTGTAGTGCATTTTAGTGTAAGTTTAAGTTAGGGGTGAGTATATGGGAAAGAAGAGGAAGTGAGGGAATGATTGTGTATCAAGAATTCTCCTCCAGAAAACGGCTGAATTTGACTTAGCTATGTAGTTCGTATAGAAAATACTGCCACCGTCAAGACCCAAACCCTAGGACCTCCTGGTCAGCACTGCAGTGACGTCAGATGATTCACTGAGCCACCTCAGCCGTTGGACGCTACTTACAAACCCTGCGCCACCTGAACCATCCTTTTCTAGTATTCCTGAACCATCCTTGTACATATCTAGTACTTTAACTAATTTTTTTGGTATTTTTTTCAGGACCAGTTTGGACTAAAAAATATGGAAGATTTATACGAACTTTATCAACAGCGACTGCATCGAGGATATTTTTCAGTGTTTTTGCTCCTTCAGATGTTACTCTGTTTAGCACATGTAATAGTAATGTGCATATTGGTGAGTCAAACTTTTATGTAAACTTCAGTTTTGATATATTCTTACGTATAAAGCAAATACTCGCAAAACACTATGATCGAAACATCAATCTTTACTAATAGAGCCCTGCTAAAATCGAAATCACTATATTTCTTTTAAATAGTTGTCTATAGATCAGTAGACAATTTGTAGCTATGTATCCCTTTTGTATATAATACGCTAAGAAAATATTACACATGTTGCTCTTTTATCCTTTTATAAGGGAAATAAATATGGATATAAACCCCATAAGTATATTACTGCTGGATAGAAAATTGGATGTTTCATAGATTCAATGAGATTTAAGCCGAAAAATTCAGAAGTTCGCAGATTATGGCTTTTTTGGTACCAGGCGCACATGCGACCGGCAAAACACAAAACGCCGCAACGCACTTTAGCCTTAAAACTAGTTTTTGTGTCCTTTTAAGGGGCACGAGTTATATTTTCCATACCTTAATTTGAAAATGAGATATTTTTGGACAATCTCTTACATTTTTATGGTACTGACACGCAGTGCGGATTGTCAGAAAAACTTAAAAGTGAGTCCCAGAGAGAACCTATATTCACATTTAAATGGTTTAAAACGTTCTAGTTTTTGTAAATAGCAACATTTGCGTTAAATCCTTGGAGCCCTTCTTTTTCAATTCTGAAGGTTTTCGCTCTACTGAGTACTATAGATATTAAGAATTTCTCGTTTCATTTAACTGGGGTTGGCACTATCTAAACGTCGCCGTAACATTTTAAAAAGTTTTTTATAATATAAAAAACTCCAATCAAATTTCTGAATTTCCCAGTTCATAAGAGCGGGAACATGCAGTGAACATGAGAGGAATAGTCGGAGGAACATTTGAAGGAACATTTGAGTAAACAAATGAAGGTATATTGGCACAGAACTCACATTCGTTGAACGCTCTGAACTTCCGAAAATTTCGTGTGTGAAAATATGGGAGAAGTAATAGAAATGTGTCGGTACAAATGAAAGCGACAGAGCTTTTGCATAAAGTAGCGGTGAATAGCTCAGTGGATCTGAGCTCGATTCTGAATGATATTTTGCTGTCTGGAAAAAATTTGGAGAATCAAGTAGTTGTATATTGCGGAGCCGTTAGAATTAACGCGAGAATGTATGTGCTGTTGTAGCACTAGTTTAGTGATATGCGACTCCCCAAGGCGCAGTAGTACTGAAGATGCTCTTCTATTAGATTTTGAATTTTTCGCATTTCTGTTGTTTAAAAAAGCTTTCATCAACTTCACTAAAATGATCTACAGGCGAGACATTTAGTCTTTTATTTTGAAACCGCAAAATTTTTGAGTTCGCTTTGACGAATGAGGTTTACAGGATATGTGAGGTGTGTATATAGAGTCACATGTGTCTTGAAAAAATCTTCATTCTCATCGGGTAGTGACTCATCAATATCTCTAGCTTCTTGAGTGCTAAGATCTTTCCAGATCAATGACAATGTTGGAACCGTTAAGCCTTCCATGACGAACAGGTCTGAGAGTAGACGGGGTAATCGAATATTCAATTTTATCTTTTTTAAATATATAAATTATAACTTCGCTTTTTTGTAAGTCAGAAGTAGATATCATCAATTACATATGGTAAATTAAAGGTTTTGCCTGGTTCTGCAGAACTTTGCTGTCGGCCCGGAAGCTTCAAGCTCTGAGGATGATCGCTACGTGATCGAAACGATCATTAGCTAAATAAATTTTTGATACCAGACAACACCTTTAATTTACCATCTTTTATTAATAGAAGGTATCTACCTCACCAGCAATTTAATTAAAGATATCATCAAAATAATTGATACATTCTCGCCACGCCATAGCGATCACAAATGACATCAAGCTTCTGTCATTCATCCAGAAAATAGTAACACAACTTACACAATGTCTATTTGGGGCCCAACTTTTATCACCAATTTTTTATTCAAATTACACTGACTGGCAAAAAAGTGATGCACCCAGGAGTGGTTGGAAGTAAATGAAACTACATATACTGGAAGACCACGTGACTTTATTGAACTGATTACAATATACAAGGTTATTGGAAGTTACAGTTGTTGCCGCTATTCCTCCAGATCCTGCAGGTTGGTACTGCGACGGAGTCCCCTTCCAAAGTCATCCCACACGTGTTCAATAACGGAAAGATCCGGGATCTTGCTGGCCACAGCAGGACCTCAACATGCTCTAGGCAGTCTATAGACACACGTGCTGCACGTAGGCGTGCATTATCTTCCTGGAACATTGTCCCAATGTGCCATAAGGAGTAGGACATGCGGACGCAGAATGTCTGCGACGTATCGCTGAGACGTGAAAGTTTGCCCGAAGCACTGAGGTGATTTGAATGCATATCCGATGGCTCCTCACACCATGATGCCAACGGTTACTCCTCTGTGTCTCTCCACAATATGGACAGGATGTGTCCTGTGCCCATCACGCCTCCACACTCGGACACAATGGTCATTAGAGGTTATTGCGAAAGGGAGCTTATCACTGAACATGATGCGATGCCGCTCGCCCTCTGTCCATGCCTCCTGAGCACGGCACCAATTTAAACACCGACGTCGGTTGTCTGGTATCAATGGCAACCGACGCATGCGGCAACCGGCGAAGTCAAACTCAACAGGCGATGTTGTAGAGTCTCCAGTATATGTTCGCGGATGGCGGGTGCCGACGTCATGGATTTCCGCACTGATTGGCGCATCATTCGACTGTTCTACCGCGGGGTGGTGTTTCTTGGTCGACCCGAGTCTGCACGACGGAGTGGAGGCTCTCATGGACCTATTCATTCCAAAATTGGGTCGCTGTGACATCTGAATGGCGCACATGCCTGGAAGTTGCACGATACGACCAACCAGCCTCGTGAAGTACCACAATGCAGCCTCTGTTAAATGCAGTCAATTGGTGGATTTGCTGTCGAATGTGTCTGCGCGGCATCGTGGGTGCTTCGTACTGTATGTCAACATCGTTCTTCAATGTCTGACTCTTCACAGCAGATGACGGATGATAACATTGCAACAACAGAGCGGTGACATCTCCAATGCACTCTAGTGGGCGTTCTACATATTACAGATACGCGTTAATCTAATCATTAACTCAGTCATTAATGGTATGCATGTATACCGAAATGGAAGAATACTGGATAATCCTTCTGGGTGCACCACTTTTTTTGTCCGGCAGTGTACAAACAATAAGCTTTTTTCACTCATTAAACTACTACTGCATTAAGTTACCACACATGACGTTCTAAAAATAGAAAAATAGGACATGGTGGAACTTTGTTGGGTGCTGATATGTAAATACTAATAAAAATTGAATACAAAATTGATGTTTGTTGACGAACCACTGTCGAGAAGCGCAATTAATTGCCACAATTTCGAATTTGCTATCAAGAGAGGTGGCTCAGGGCATCAACTGATGTCATTGCAGGGCCTATGAGCGAGAGGTCCTTGGTTCGAGTCCCGAGGCTGGTTGGATTCGACACTGGCTAGATAGCTAGGTTTCTGTCGCATTCGCTGTATAATTCTAGTGGCCGGCTGCTCAGATCGGTTGTTTTCCCTGGTTTCTCTGATCAACGCCAGACGAATGCCGGAGCAGTACCCTAACGGAACTACGGGCGCGAGCGATCTTTCCTTCGCATTCCTCGTCCTATCCTAGCCCTTACTTACACACACTTACATTAACATGCGCTACACTACCACACGTGCCGGGAGATTCGACTTTGTCCCGACTGGGGCAGTGCCCGCTGGTGAAAGATACCTGGTTGAGGGAAAGCCCGCTAGCCGACGATTTGTCGGCGCCGTATCTCGCCATCTAGCGGGGAAAAGACACAGCCACCTCCCGAGCAAAAAATATGCAGTACACTTACAGGATTAATGACTTTCGTTGACGCGCCCGGATGCGCAAATCAATCAATGAATCGAAATTGCTGTTTTCCTAACGAAGCTAGCGGTGTCACAACAGCACATACTTTCTCGCATTATTTATTACGTCTCCGCAATACTATAGTAGGGTAAAGCACACGGTGATGGGTACTTTAAGAACAACCAATATGTTTAATCAAAGTATTGTTTATTTTAACAATAGAAAATTCACAGTTGCAAATGAATTACTACATATGTGTACATTTATGAGGCTAGTATGTTCAATAGATGAACATTATATTTCACATTTTATAAATAATGAAACTAAAATAAGGCAGAAAATGTAGGGATATCTTGGGCACTTTCGAGTCTATCTTGGGCACTTTGTAATATAGTGATAAGCACTCACAAAAATGGATAGCAAAAAGACCACGAAAGTCAAATTGCATTGTTGAACGGAATTGGCTTGTTACTGCTGTTATATTAAGCTTCAATCATTGAATATGTCAAAACAATTTACCCCAAAATACATATTTTCTTTGTTTGAATCGCCTTTCTTTACAAAATCTTGTGAGGAAAGATGTGATTTGTGAAACACCTTTTGTCACAATTGTCACACCGCAATTCTTAAAATTCAATGTATTTCATACTGGAAGCATAGCCCTGAAGAAAATACTTCCGTGGACTTCTGGGGGACTCAAGAGGCTTGCTGCTGCTTCTTTCCATCTTGTGAATGCCTGTAGAAGTGCTCGGGAGACAAATGTCCTTATTTTTTCGAATCCTATTAGTGTGTTTAAACCTTGGATGAATGAATATGTAATTCTTTGCTCAGAATTGACGTTTGTTTTTATGAAGTTAGCCCGATTCCTTGTTTCCTCTATACGGTGTATTTTCTGCTTATCATTCTGCTTCTCTATTCCCTCAGTGCAGTTTTCAAATAACACTTTTTTTAGATTTAGTTGTAGTGATATTGTGGTTAGCGTTCTCATGTTCTACAGGCAAATCTATCTTACACTTTTTTCTTCTTCTTCTTTCTGTTTTGTTAGAGACTTTCGCTTTCTCTCTTCCTTCGCCCTTTCTTAATTTTGTTTTTGTATCTGCCTTTGCCTTATGAAGGGTTTTCCATTGTATGGACGTTATCACTTACGAGTCTTTCTTGGATTTAATTTTTAAAATGTCTGCAAACTGATTTGAACATCTCTCAACCTCGGAAATCCTTTTTTGCTCAAATCTAAAAGCCATCGCACCAAATTTCTTTTCAGAGTCCAAAAGAAATGGTTTGCGGCCAAAAGTAGATTTAGATTGTCCTTTAAGATTGCGTTGAAGAGTTGATATTGGAATTCCAAAGGTTCTAGCGACAAATTCAATTTTTTTCCATCACGTTCGGCAGCTACAGCAGGTTTTAAGGCATATTTTACTGATTTAATTTATTTAAATATCATAAGTACTATCATAATGGTACTTGCTTTAAATAATATTTATGAGATGAAACAAATTATTCCCACAGAATTCCTGAGAAGCCTATTCGATTTCTTCGCTCAGAAATTGTGTCATCCGTTGTGAGTGTGTGATCTAAGCTTCCTGAGAGGCTTATCAACTCCATATTCGGTTCTCCCGATGTTGTGATAAACAAATACAGAGATTTTCTAAAAACAACACTCCACACCAAAAATTTACATGCATTTTCTTACATCCTTAGTAACAGGACTCACCTCCGCTAACGAATTCACAACGCTTCGATGCACAGCAGACACGTGTAGAACACCACTAACTAAAGAAGAGCACCTGTGCTCACGATGGGGCCGTATATAATTCATATTCCGAGGTTGCAAACTTACAGTCACACGACACGGATATTATATGCAGAGGGCTTCTCGTTGATTGAAAATCTTATTATTACCCCTCTTACAGTTTCTGTGCCCACCCCTATACTGCTGTACCCATTATCCTACTACATGAACCTGCAGAAGTGTTTCCAGCCAACGAAAAATATTTCTCCGAGAAGAGACTCGAACTCAGGACTACGGAGTTAACCCACCGTTACACCAGAAGTCGCTCTGCAACATTCGCTTTTGCCAACGCTTGGTTTCTACAATCATTTCCAACATAGAAGTATCGAAAATTCGGAGACTTCAACGCAAATTAGACGAGCACATTAAAAATTGTCCTTTTCTCTATACATGCAAAAATGTAAAAGAACATTTAGGTCCATTTATGAAAAAATGTTTTTAAGTGCATTAAATTGGGGCAAAAATTACGTGAAAAGTACTCGTTTAAAAAAATTTAGACTTTCATTTTTAAATATCTAATTTTTTTAGAAGAGATTTCATTTACGACAAAAATTATCTATCTTCAATATTGTAATTTTGCAATGTTCTTTATTCCAATTTTCGAAAATACATAGTTTGTCGAAAATGGGACCAGCACAAGTTTTTTGTTCTTTGATGCATACCACGGGAAGAAATTAAAGAAAAAATGGTTTCGTTTTTAGAGAAATTGATTTTTCGATATCAAGGGCCCTAGGGTACGTAGAATCTGACGTATTAGAGGAATTATTTTTTATATATAATAATAAGATTTATACACTTGTTTGTTACCAGGCCCGGCAATACGTTTTTCTGTTGAAAAATCGCCGTTGTCCGGCGCACACAGTACTTTATCTTTTTAGGAAGTGAGGCGAGAAAATAAAACGAGTGTGTGCTGGCTTGACACCACCCTAACCCGTAAAATAGTCCGACAAAAATACACTAGGGTTTGTTGTGTACAGAATTAAAAATATTTTAGCTTTAAAAACAATTTTATTTCCATAAACCAACAAGAATTAACGGTACGAAAATGAAAATGAAAACGTTTTCTGGGAGATGAACAAATTACCGAGTCGTCTTACAGTACCAAAATGTACATTCCAAAAATCGAAGTCCGTACTTAGAGTCGCACCGTCAGTAAGTTCTGCGTAATCGATATCTCTATGAACGAACTTGCTGGCGGTGTCGCGCCGCGTAGGAGTAGACCTCGACTGTCCCCCTCTCGTAGAGAGGGTGGTGCTGTTGGTTGCCGCCACCCGGCGGGAACGGGTGGCCAGAGGCGGTCGCCTGCGTGCTGCGCCTGGCGGCTAACCCCAGTAGCCGTGCGTTGGTGACGCTTGCGCAGGCGTTGCATATGTACGGCGGCTTTTACGACTACTACTGCTACAGAATTAATTGCTAATTAATTGCCAAATTTTGGAATTAATTTCCACTTATTATCAATTCGAAAAACGGACGTGTACGCTGGACGCCATGCCGGCACACGCATGAGCTATGTTCGATCATGCAATGTTATGCAAGGTCATGACATTTTTCTCATGCTTTGGACCGAATAGCTCTTATATGTGCTGAGTGTTTTAGTACAGAACAGGCCCGTTTTTCGTAATGAAAAAGGTGGCAATTAATGCTTAATTGTGGCAGCTAATTAGCAATTAATTCTCATTTCGTTCATTAATTCTCAACATTAAGCTTCGGGTCGATTTTAGTTTGTTTGTGCTAAGGTGGCGTGAACTTCAGCACTCATCTGTTTTCAGATCGATAAAGGGTGCCAATTAATTCGAAAATGTGACTATTAATAATTAATTGTAGTGTGCTTTGTCTAATCGTTGGACTGTAAATTACTCAATATCCAAGTAGCACATACTCGTTTTGTGAATGAAAATTGTCAGCAATTAATTCAAAGTTGTTGCAATTAATTCGCATTAAATTAATAAACCGCTTTTATTTGCTTGTGCTGACATCACTGTTCCAGCGTGTCATACCTAATTGTGAAATGTGGCTTAATGACAGAAGTTTTTTCTACTAAAAGGATGATGATTATCATTGTTTCTGAGTAAAAGGATTATGATTGACCTCATCAAATGGGATGTAATATTCTAAACTTTTCTTGGGATGAGATACCACAGCCCAAGGGGGGGGGGGGTTGGGCCAAACATTAATGTATAGTTCTTTGTGAACTCTTACTTTTTCAAATATCCTCATTGAAAATTCATAGTGGGTAAACTCAGAGAACTTGAAGGGTCACAATCAACCACTCGTGTCTTTCAACGCAATACACAAATTATTTCGTTAAATTTACTGCACAGAGTTAGCCCAAAAATGTTTCTTAGTTTGTTTCTTAGCCAAGGAGCAACTGTTTTAACACTGACAACTTTTAAATTTTCCCCAAATGTAATCAAACATTAATATACTATTATTAGGACGAGTAAATTAAGTAAGATGCCTGCAACATATTTTTTTTCCTTAGAACCGCTGCAAACATTTTATATTCCTGAACTTGTTTTCAAATTAAACAAGTCAGAACTTTATATACATTTTTATTATGTTAAATTTAAAATTTATGTGAAATTAAAATACTTTCAACCCCTTTTTTTCAATGTCGAAATAAAATGCATACATCAAATTTACTTACTGGCAGTAAGCATTAATAAAATGTTAAATAACAGACAGCATTAATAATAATGTGTTGTTTCTTTGCAGGGTGAGATACACGACGTCCTCCCTGATATTATTACTTATTTGGTAGTCGTCATCCTATGTTTTCTTCTAGTCATCGTTACCTTTCAAGAACGCTTGGTAAAGCGCTATCAATGGATTCCTCTAATAACATCATGTGTTATCATAGTGTTACTTGTTTTAAGTGATATTGGACTGCCTCTGTACCATAATACAACAAAGAAATCTCCTGTAATATTTAGACCTGCTTATGGGGTTCATACTCTCCTAGCATGCTACATTTTTCTGCCAGTTACTCACAACTTACAAGCCCTTATTTTGGGTATTACAGTAACTCTTTGTCATGTTGTAGCACTAGGAATGTTTGTGTATGTTAAGTCTGACAACAAATACCCAAGGGTAAGTGCCAATTATACTAATAGAAAAACTTTTTTAATGTCAGAACATTGTATTACTGTTGATAACCCTTTTAATATATGCTTTAAAATCAGTAGGTCTGCTGTAAAACTGTCTTATGACATTTACGTCTAAAAGGGAAAATGTCTAATACAAATGTGGTATACAATTACATTACGTATAATGATTAAGTGTCTGCTCCTAAAATGTCTACCATCAAAAATATCTATAAACTAAAGTATACCAGCAAACTGTCTACAAGTTAGAACCTCTATCAGCTTAAATGTTGGTGCATGAAGTAAATCTGAAATAATACTTACTGACTTTCAAGCGACAACCATAAGAACATCTTTTCCATAAGGTCAAGTGAAAGATAATCTTTCCATTTCACCAAATCCAATTTGAAAAGAGAAGCAAACTAGTGGTGCTAAATAGCATATACTTTCTGACCCGCGTTTCACGCAAAAGTACGCGAAAATACTCAAATTTTCGGAAAAATTGTACGACCTTATTCCTATATTCTTTGAGGAACAGATTTCATCTGTCTTTAATAATTTAGTTGTACGAAGACAAAAAAATTTGAACTTTTGCAAGTTTTGAAAAATTAGTGTCTTTAACAAACGAGACAGCACCATTCTCTTCAACGTTTTTCAACAAAAAACAACAAAATCTTTCTCTCAAAACAATAAATCCAACAACAAAATTTAATAAAAAACTATGGAGAATTTTCTTTTAATTTGTAAAATGTCCCAGAGTTGTTATGTAAAGTATCCAAAAAAATTATAATATCTGTTTTAAATTCAAGTGGCTGAGACATCAGCCATTTAGGGAATATCAGTTTTGGAGAAAATCGTTTGAACAGTTTATCCCCTAACATACTTCACAGGCGGATGGACAGACGGACGTTTTGCCGTCATTCGATTTTTCAGTATCAAGGACCCACAAAACATGGATTATGACTACATCACGTGATAGAGGATGTGGCATAGGCAATATCAAAAAAATATTGAAAATATTGTAGTATTGTCTGCATTAAAATACAAGCATAAGGAAATTTCTAACTATATTAAAGAGGATCAAAGAGATAATGGGCATTTCATTATGCAACTTCTAGCAACACATTTAAGATTTAATAAACAATTATATAATATTATCATGTGTATTTGGAGTAAGTGGAAATGACGGTATCTAACTATGAACAATATAGAGAACAAAATGATATACTAACCTTTTAGAGAGGTTTAAGTTACAGCTGAAATTTTCAAACATGATAAAAAAGAATATAAATGGAATGTTTGTAATAAATGTAATGTTTTTATTGAATATTTGTTTTATAAATGTACTGCATACATTTTGAGCAATGAAGTTGATGGCGCGCTGACGTCACTAGCCAAATTCCTGAACTACGCCCCTTGAAGACAGGGAGGTGAAGGAATTCGAGCCATCACGGTTTGGGTGTCCGTCAGGGAACCCCGAGTTCTAACAGCGCCGAGTCCCTTTTCTGAAGGGATAAAAGGCAACGACTAACGGTTACTGACTAGGTTAAAGCATTACTCCAAATGTTCGAAGACAGTAGGTAGCTGTAATAGAACGTTGTTACGAATTGTAACAGAAGAAATTATACTTTTTTATATCACTTTAGGATTGTCTGTATTACGTTTCTTGATAAAAGTTTGCAAATCAATTTTTAGACAATCAGTTTTTGTTTTCGTTTTATTTTTACTCGTATAAAGTGTCGGAGATCAAATGTGTCTTTAGCATCAAGTAGAGGTAAAATTGGTAGGTACAATTGGCAGCTTTAGCTACCAAATTTATTTACGGGTAAAATAAAAAATAGCTGCCAATTGCACTTACCAATTTGTACCTGTACCTGATGATGGAGACGCTTTGGATTTCCGAAACGTTGTACAATCAAAATAAAACTAAAACAAACTAGGCGTGCTACAACAGCGCACAATTTCTCGCATGATTGAATATTAAAATATTGTAATTTCTGACATACTAAAAACTTAGTTATAACTTGAAAAGGTCTAATTAAAACGAATCGCCTCTCGTGCTTATCTTTATTTTCATTGTCAGGAAGAGTAGTCATATCTTACTTTTAGAAATGGAAAGAACATGAATAAATATAAATGTTACGTTACTTACAGAGCATAATACAGAAAAGCAAAAATTATTTCACACAAGCCTACCTTGATTAAATTTGAAGTGAGCTTTCAATTTTTTAATACCATAATCAGCGATTAAAACTTCTTAAAATATAGAAGTGCTTTTGTTATTTCTAAGTTAAAATTTATTACCTTCCTTCAATCTATTTACTTTCCTTAAAATATTATTTACATCACACAATCATCATGACCGTCACCAATCGAATGAATTTTAATAATTTTGAAACCTCTTTGTGGCTCCGAACTTGCAGCGCCTGAAATGAAGCGCGTGAATTATAAACAATTCCGAACGTTTTTTCAATTTTCGAAAATGTAGAGTGCGCTGAAAACAGGACCACCACCCCTATCTTCATGGTTCTACATAAGAGGATAAAAATGGAAGACAAAATTTGAAGTTATTTCTGATAAACTTGTTTAAAATCGTTTTAAAAGCGCCTATGTTTATCTAAAATTACTCAAAAATACTCACATTTTTGAAATATTGAACATGATCTCTTTTGAGGAACTGTTCTTGATGAACAAATTTCATTAAGAAAAAAAGTGTCTTCAGAATTGTAGTTCTAGGAAGACGCCGAAAAAATTTTAATTTTTGCAATTTTAGAAAAATCAGGGTTTTTAACGAAAATGAGACCTATACCATTCTCTCGAACACCCTTCGCACTATCAAACATATGTTTTGCCGTCATTCTATTTTTCGGTATTTAGAACCCAGCAAACATGGGTTCTGGCTACACCACGTGTTAGAGGATGTATTTCTAAATTTAGCAACTGTATTTATCCCCTCTTTTCATTACCAGGGCCTGGCAATAAGAATTTTTCTGCCGAAAATTCGCCGTTTTTCTCCGCAGTATTACATAACTTTCTCTTCTTAAAAAGTACTTTCTTAAGGGTGACAAATTTAAAACTGATTCTCAGAAAATTGATTTGGAAACTTTTATCTAGAAGAAATTAAAACAGAAAAATATTTTAATGACGCGAAACTAGAGGCATCTAAGCATTTGCTCAAGGGATCAGGGAAACAACAAAAAACCTGATCGAGATGGGGTCATTGACCTAGGAATTGTAACAATTGTTACCTTGTTACAGATAGATGAAGATATTATACAGTAGATAATTATTTTTAGTAGCAAATAATTTAACAATCCAAGATTTGTATAGTTAGATGTTAAGAAAAAAATAAAATTTACTTGTAATTGTCATTTTAAATCTACTATTTATAAAAATAATAGTAATAATAATAACAATAACAATAATAATAATAATAATAATAATAATAATAATAATATTAAAGTAGTACATGATATCAATTCTGCAACTTTATATAACTAAACTTATTCAGCAACTACATATAATTTAACAATATTATTACATTCTGTGTTTAAATCTTGAAATGGGAGGTGAAGGAGACTGTTTTTCTTCTTTTTGTACACCTAGTCCTATTGCAGCACCTAATGCATCTAGCAAAACCACGATGAAGGAAACAAATTCTCGCCAGATATTATCCTTCTACATTGCAGGACGCGGTATATCAGTTCTTTTTTGCTTCAGCTTTTTTCTTCAATTCCAATTTCTCTAATTTATGCAAGGCCTAACAAACTTAATTATGAAGGCATATTTAAGGTACAGACATATTTGCATTAGCCATTTTTGCATGTAGACACGCGTGTCAGGGGGACATTTAGGTAACGTTTTTGTAATACATGAAGTGTTGTTAAATGTCAGTTTTTTGACATTTATTTGGACCATTATTTTGTAGATCTACTGGCTGATAATATAATACACATATATATTATTTTCATAAACCGTTTACACTGTACGTAGAGACAAAAATTAAATCATATTTTGAGATCTTATTCATATTGGACACTAAGTAGAATAAGTTAAAAATCTATTGAGGAGTAATAACATTTCAAAAATTTATTATTGTATATAATGTTTAGTCCATTAAGGATCCTTTGACATCTTTAAACATTCCTTATTATCAGACCAATACATTTTGTTTAGTATACGATGATGACGTTAATTGCATCTGTTAATGAGAAGGCGATCAACAGTAATGCTTTCTATTAATACAACGGACATTAAGCTATTACATATAATCAATTATTTTAATGATTTTTATAAATTGATTATTATGTGTAAATTTGTAATGTTTTATTTTTCCTTTAGCTTGCATCGGATTTTATGTATTTATTAAGTGTGAATTTTCTTGGTCTGTATTTTCGTTATATGAATGAAGTATTTATAAGGAGAACGTTCCTTGACCGGCGTGCCTGTGTTGAAGCTACATTTAAACTGGAATGTGAAAAACAGCAAGAGGTAAGACAAAGCTTAAAAGGACAACATGTGTGCGTGTGCGAGTGTTAGTGTATGAGTGTGGGCATGTAGGCGTGGAGCGTGCGTTTGTCTGTGTGCGACAGAAATAAGTGTGTGTATGTTTGTGAAACTGGTAGAAGTACAATGTGGACTTAGAAAGGAAAAATCCTACTCTGACTGAGTATGTGTTCTACAACAAATAATTCAAACGGTAATAAAATTGAATGTTCCAAATATTTTATATTTTTAGACTATGAAATATCTTTCGTAAAATCAGTCGGAATAAACAATGGATCATAGTAAATAACCACTAAGGGATATACAAAACAACTGATAAAGACTGCAGTTAATCAAAGCCTTTAGCAAGGATGCCTATTGTCGAAAACATTGTTTCATATTAACATAGATTTGACCATAGAAAAATGTCAAAAATAACTTTTCCCGAATAAACATCATCCAATCATTTTTAAAGACATTGCAATTTGTAAATGATCAAGTTACTAATACTGATTTAGAAAAGGGATTACAAATTACACGATATAAACTTCAAAGCTTTAGGGGACTGTACAAACTAGAGATATCAACTAGTAAAACTAAAACTTAAACCACAGCCTTCTTATGATTTGACTGTGCCAGATATAACATAGTTCATGACAATAAAATTATAGATATGTAACTTTCAAGTATATATTCATACTAGCGGAACCTGGCAGACGTTGTTCTGCCCTTCATCTCCTTCTTTCTCCTTCCCTCTCCATTGTCTCACCGTCTCTCTCACCGCCTCTCTGTCTGTCTGTCTGTCTCTCTCTCTCTCTCTCTCTCTCGCCGTCTTTCTCTTCGTCTCTCCCAATCTTTCTCCGTCACCCTCCCTCTGTCCGTTTCAGTGTGACTCTGTAATATATGACTCTCTCTTTCTCTGTGTCTCTACCTTTCTCTGTCCCTCCCATTAACAATTAGTTGCAGATTCTGCAGGTTTTGAGCAGCTGGGTAATAGTAAGAAGCATCAGATCAGCAAAATTGTAATAGAATGTCCAAGAAGATTTCATCCTGTGGACTACGGTGTGGAAAACGTTTTAAGTCTTTTGCCTCAAAATTTTAGTTTTTAATGCCCTAGAACGCTTCGTTTAGGAGCTAATTAACGATATGGATTCAAAAATGCTACCGAGTGTTGCGGTTGCATTTGGCATGAATATTTAGTTTTGTTCTACAGCTCCATCTAGTGGAGTTACAGCAAAATTAACAGCACATGAACCTTCTGAGTGAAAAAACTCGTAGATGTGTCAACTTTCATGGAGATCGGTCACACAGTGGCGAGTTAATCGTTTGTCATATTTATGAGAATGGAATATAGATATTAAATTACATTTCAACAAATGTGTGGAACAATCCGAAGAAACTTAAAAAATAAAATTCAAAGACTCATACAATTAAATTTTGATTAAATCATTGGGTGTCCATTATTAACACAGCTGTGAAAATAGGTCTTTTAATAGCACTTGAAAAACTCGGAAAATGTGAAACGAAGTCCCTGCAATGTACTGCTGGTTTCAGCTTTCAAATTCTGTATGAAAGTTATTTTAATTAAGTTCTATGAAAGTATATAATGTTAAATAAATATCAAACAATAATGTAACATAAATACGTATTACCTGGAAACACTAGTCAATGTCACTAGTCATTGGAAACACTAGTCAATGGCGGAAAATAAGAAAACAGCCCTCTCTTCCCTAAAACACAGTGGTATGGCCTTCTTGAAGAAAATGTAAAACAATAAAATAGTTATGTTATGTATTATTAACAAATGCTTTTTTCTAAAAGTAATTATCGAGTAAATTATTGGTTGTATTTGAAGGTAAGCTTAACTCATGACACAAACAATTAAAATATTTAGTAGATTATCAAACGAATGAAAATCCTATTACAGGCTTGAAAAGAGAGTATGATATTTTTAATTCATTGATTCTAATGATCTTCCATTTTCATTTGATACATAATTGAAATGTCCAATTAAATCCTATAATTGTTCTTTCCCCACTCTGGCGTTTAAGTCTCCATACATCATAAGATTATAATGTCTTATTTATTCAATTTCGGGCCTTCTGTAGTAATTTTAAAATATTCTTAGAGGTATTTTTCTTTTACCTTGTTCTGGACCATCTATCGATATTTCCAAATTGAAAGAAGACTATGCAGCTTCAGGGCATCTGAGAGATCGGTTTAGGTGGCTCATGGCATCAACTGATGTGCTACACTGTCTTTGACCACCAGGACCTAGTCCCAACGGTGTCAGGATTTTCGGCATTAAATTGATAGCTAGGTTGAATCTCTACCAAACGAATCAATAAGCGTGCACGATCTTTTCTGCTTCTTCTTTGCCCTACCATTACCCTTTATGTACACACACTTACACATACACGCACTATACTATGACACATAACACGAGAGCAGTCGAGAGTATAAAACTTGTTCCGCGGGAGGTTCCGTGGTTGGGGAAAACCCCGCATGCCGACGTGCAGGTCGGCGCCGGATCTTTCCATCTGGGGAAGATAAGTACCACAGCCCGTGATAAAAACAACCACACTTGAACCACACACAGGACTAATGACCATAACAATCGATGCACCCGGAGACAGGATATAATCAACCAATTAACTCGCCATGTGATATGTGTCTATGGCTTTGTTAGATATCCAGAGAGATCCAAAAACATTTGAATTACTACGAATAATTTAACACAGTTATCCTTTTTCTTTTCTAACAATCAATGAACGTTTTTCCAAAAAAAGGTTTATTGTCCATAAAATGTCCTCGCATCATCAGGTGTAAACAAATAATAATTGATATGTTCATGTCTGAAAATGAAACGGACAAACCAGTTTTGATATCGTTACAATTTTTATTGTTACCAATTTTAATGATACAATATCATCAAAATTTGTTTATCATTTTTCCTTAATTTGTGCTCAAGATGATTTTTTTACAAGTGTATGATTCAAATGTATTAATGATTTTGAAAATAAAATGGTGAAAATGAAAATAAAATGCGCTTACATAGGTATTAATAAAATACTGTGCTTTTGTATTTGTTTTTAATCAAAAGAAATGACTGAGAACATTTAAAATTATGTTTTCAAGTTCAGTTTGTCAACCAAATCTCCTTAGTCTTTGTTGATTTCTTATATATACAAGCATAATGATGTAAGGGTTACTGAATGAATGAAGATAATAATTCTAATATTGTTGTGGTTATTGTTGTTATATTGATATTATTGTTAATATTGATTATATTATTATTATTAATACATTAATACTATTCATATCTTAATTGTTTCAGGACCATTTATTGTATAGTATATTACCTAAACATATTGTTGAAGATGTAAAAAAGGATATTCGAAATATCTTTCAATATATGAAATCAAAGCCATCCGTTCCTTTGCAAAGAAAACCATTTAGGTCAGAATTTTTCATCTACTCTTTTAATATAGTCATATATGATAATTGTTTTAATTGTGATGCTGTAACAGTTATTCCTCTTTTATTTTCAGTGAAATGTATGTGAAAGCTCACCATAATGTCAGTATATTGTATGCTGATGTTGTAAATTATTCTCAACTTACTGTTTCTTTACCTCCAACAAAACTTGTTGAAACTCTGAATGAACTCTTTGGAAGATTTGATGAAGCATCAGAGGTAACTATTCTGATCTATAACCAAACCCAGTAGTACCTATTCTCGTAAAATAACTATTTTTCATTTATGGACTTTTTCTTATTCTGTTCTTAAAGAATAAGATAATTTGCTTCATAAATTGTAAATAGAAAATAGTGTGGATTGATGTATAAATTCAATGACTAGACAACTGTTACTTAGCTAAAAAAGTTCTTTGTAATAATTATGAACCTCAATTATTGAGAAAGTGAATTCCAAAACGCACCAAGTCAGAAGCGGTTTTATACCTTTGCTCAGATGACTAAGCTCAATTTCAAAAAAATAATTTTGTCAAAAAATGACACGACTAAGTACTTTTTTTGGAAAGTTATTTTTCTGTCTGCTAAGATGCATCTATGACTTATAATTAGAATAGGCTTGCGCGCTGGGGGGGTGAATTAAACAGTATATAGGCGTGCCCCAGTAACATATTAAACAGTAACCCTGAAAATTTTAAAAGGGGTCCCGAACCGTTATGAAATAAAATATTTTATATCCTTTTAATTTTCAATCTCCAATTTCTCCTTTTTAACCTGTCAGTTTGGAAGAATTTCATACGTCATTTGGATAGAGTCTCTGCAAGCAATCTGGCAAAATCTGGGAAAATTGTTTAACATAAAATCAATTTTATTTATTAATTATATCATCAGAGTTGCCATTCCATTCTCGTCGTAATATTTTTTAAATTCATTTTAATAAGTCGCAAGTATATAAAAACATTCAATGGCAAATGAGGCCCAGAAATGTAGGCGCTGTCCTCTTGTTTAAGGCTGCACACGCCAACGATAATCAGTTGTTAGAGTTGATTTATTTTGAGCAGTCAAAATTGTAGTATGCGACGTATAGGGGGAGAAGTACAATCTATGTTAACCACGAAATGAAATAAAATGACCTAGTGTTTGAAATCCACCTCTTCATTTTATTACACATTGCTAGGAGTTATGAAGGGACCTGCGGATTTAAGAAGAAACTTACATAAGAATATGCAACATCAATTTTTTATTTTATTTTTTATTTAAAACTTTTATTTTTTGGATTCGAACACTAGACTTTACTGTGGAGCTAGCGCATCAACCTAATATCTGCATCTGCAGCTCCGTCAAGAGTCGATTTATCACCGTAGGAAAGCATATTTACATATTATGAATATTTACGATACTTATGGCACCGGCATTGGTGACAAGATCATCTTCAGTGTATTGTAGACATCCTATACAGCTCGGTCGCGTTCCGTCTAGCCCCAAGAGAGCGTTCTCCCCGCTAGCTTCACTATTCATTCTTCGAATTGACAAAGCACCTAGAGAAGAGCATTCTACACAACCGGAGAGATTTTTCTTGAGAAGTAAACGGGGATGAATTATACAATGAATTCGTATGTTTAAGAGATGTCATTGAAACTCTTAAAAATATATTTTCTCACTGATCATAACTCGGTACATTTCTTCAAGACACAAGCAGACTCTAACTTAATTGTTAGAAAATAGTTAAATTGATATTATCAATTGCTGTCAGTAATGCACAATCTTGTGGACCGATGATAGAAACAAATTGCAGGTGAAATCTGCGGTATGTGAACATGTGAAAATAAAAGAAAAAAACATAATACGAGTTGCCCTTAATGCTGACTTTGCAGAGCTTAAACCTTTCAGGAGGAAAAAGAAACCGGGAAAATCTAGTTTATTACTACAAATAATATTCTTTTTAATAAAATTATTTCCAATGTGGCATAAGTGTCAATGTCCTTTCTAGAATTCGATGTTTCACTTCTTTCAAGAATGTATCGATGTCGCTATCAAAGATGTATTACCTCAAATGACGAACATTGTTGATAACGTTATTTCTAAATCAGCTCTTAATGAATGCAATTTCACTCACAAATCCGTATACTTCAGTAGCAGCTATCCGTAGGTTTACTTTGTCCCCACCAGGATCGCTTGGTGATTGTTGTGGTGGCGCATCACTAACTAACCAAAAAACGAGCCGAGCTTCGCTACTGTTTAATACGTATACTGTGACTCAACTCCGCTGTTAAAGGCATGGTGGGGGTTATGTACGAAAAACGTCGCCTGCTAGTCTGATTCACTTAGCTTCAGCAACATCACGCGGTGAATGAAGGAACTTATCTCAGCTTTCTCTGCCAATAATGACGAGTGTGCACGTAGTTGATCAATGTCATCTACACTTTAGTGTGTGTAAGTGAATGTATATAGCGTTGACTTGATACATGAACTCGGTGGTTATTGGCTGAAAATTTCTTAAATGGTCCTTCCCATGGTAGAAATATGTTGGTGGTTCGCATGGTGGTATTTCTCCCATGGTTCTTCCATTGACCTCGTGATGTCGCGGAAGCTACGTGAGTCCGATTAGCTACCGGAGATTCTCTTACTTACCCTCGCCACCGGAATTGAGTCTTCATTCAGACTTCGTGGTGTAAGATTACACCGTGCGCCAGCCTCTGCCCACATCCTCCAGACCCGGAGTACGACTTACATATGTGCGAAAAGGGGCGTACGGTTATTCTAAAGCACACCTTCGCGCGCAGACACACACATCTTATATATTATAGTGTTAGGTCGAGATAGTGTACGTCAAAAAATGAAAATAAGTCAGTCCGCCAGATTATGAGAGGATGTTTTTGTGTGTGTGTGTGTGTGTGTGTGTCTAACATGTATATGCAAGCGATGAATAATTCAAGAGAGTCATGTCTTTATTTTTATATCTGTTAGACCAAAAGAAAACTAATGGTTTTATTATAATCAACTGGTGAATTTAGGTCTTTCCTTGTGAACTCGTTTTGACTTATACTCTTTTAATTCTCTAGTGCCTTACGTCCGCAATGATCGAGTCGCAAAAGACGCCACTCGATGGCCATTCAATGAAAGAGCTGCTCCACTCGGACTGTAGAGCTGCATTCAAAAAGTTTTCTTTTGTGGCGGTAGGAGCGCTGTGAAATAAGAGCGATTCGCGGCGGTAAGATTTTTTTACACCGTGGAGCGATTACTTTATTTTTTCGCCTAGGGCTTTTCCCAGCCTACACCCGACTACACTTTACGTCCCGCGGGGACGCATAATCTACCAAACACTAGACACCAACACATTTTCTGGTTCTTCTGATCTGGCACTAGCAGAACGTGACGCCTTCCCGCGACAACACATACGTGAGAGAGAAGGGAGAAACAAACAAATTCGTTCGAAGTCAAAAATCTCATAACTATCAACAAACAATTATACATTTTCCTCAAATATCAAAATATATTTTTATATGGTAATTATATTTAAAAGTCGAAAATGTGTGAGAAGGACTTTTTTCGTCCGATTTTATTTTTATATAAACGCAATCACACAAAGCGCAAATATGTTGAATTCTACTAAAAGTTGTCAAATCTGTTAGTTTAAAAGCGTATATAATGTGTGTATTGTAACAAAAACGGTATATTTCGATTAAAAGAGTAGGGTTTTACACGTTCTAAACTTCCTGGAAGACTATTCCATGTTATTATACACACGAGCATAAAAAATACTATAAATGTTTAAAGAATTCTTAAAAATTGTGACTTATTTTTGAAGTCTTGTTGCTTTAGGGTTTGAAACACCGTGTGTTCGTATATTCGTACATTTTAAAAAGCTACAAAAACAATGCTTGCAAATGACCTACTTTTATAAATGTAGGCTTGTAATAAGTATGTAATCTCGAAAGTAAAGAAAAAATCCCCGAGAATTTGACGTTGAAAATTATAAATTGAAAAATTAGTGTCGCAATAATTTGAGCTGAATGTACACAACTAGTATCACTCAGTCCGGAGAGCTAACGTTCAGGTATGACGCAGCTCTCTAGGCTCTTTGAGATTGGTTTGACCAAGTGTGTAGGTGACCTGTTATATTCGTAAGAATGTTCAAGTAACTTGAATTTTTCGAACAACTTGGCAATGGGGATATGTTGCTTCGAGCACTTCATCTCACAATTCTTGTTCGGGATAAGATCTACGCCATCGAATAGTGTACTTTCTGGAAAGGCTTCAAATACAGCCGCCACATCATGCAGGCAAAGAGATGATTTATTAAATCAATTTTCAGAAATACTAAACAAATATAATTTATTGAAGATTTATTGTAATTTCAATATTTCGTTAGTTTCGGAAGCATGGCAACAATAAGCTAGTTTTTGTTTTCTAAATACTGTTGTTTGTCTTTCAATATGGTGTATTAGTACCAAAGATTTGTTCTGATAAATATATTGCAGCATATCCAAAGAATTCACTTATTTTTAATTAAAATTATTCTATAATAGTAGTTCATACAACTATTTTATAATATTATGCTTCATTAGATGAGTACATGTTTTGAACACGAGCGACGTTAGGAGCGAGTTTTCAAATTTATACGAATGCAATATAGCTATATTGTAAATAAGTTGCATACGCAATTTTTTGTGTAATAGAATTATAAATTTATAAGAGAATCAAACATAATTTTGCGACACAACTTTCTGGTGCCGTCTCGGGTATTTCACATCTGTGCGAGAAAACGGTGGTCGGCAGTTCCGTTTACCGCTGCTACCCCACGTTTATCTCGCTACAATTCGCAGCATGTGACGCATTCATTCGTGTCGAAATGATAATACGTCATCATTTGTGCCGTAATATGCCCTTTTATGGAAGATTTCCTGCAACAGGTCATTTAGGTCATTTATAATGCTGGTTTACAAAAAAACATTAAAAGAGCGATTACAAATTACGGAGAGAAGTTGTTTATAAAACAATATTTACAACTCACTCATATGTCAGTATTTCCCCGATCATATTAAATATTATTAATAATCATTTAACAATTATTTAAATATTTATTATTTCCTCAAATTACTACTTCCTGAAAATTCATTTTCAAATTGACATGGAGAATATGTCTTTGATGTAGAAAACAATATTTTTATGGAATGTCTGTTTCACGAGAGATTGGGAGAATGTTCATCGTTACGACCAACAATTGTATTTCCTTTAGCGTTCAATATTTACAAAATTCACATACTTCATTAGATCTATAAACTTCAATTTGAAAATCAACAAAATTACGTTTAAAAAAGTTTAAATTTTAGAAGTTTGCAATGATTCAGAAGTTTGCAAACTTTGCAACTTGGTTAACTGCCTATTAGGTGAACAATTCAAAACGCCATTAATAATTTTATCGGAAGTATTCCTGTCGGATCATGCTTGCGAAAAGTATTTAAAGTGACATTTCGTCAAATTCATTGGAATTTCAAATCATCTACACTTTGAGACCACGATAATGTAATTATTAAAAATAATTTCTAATATTAAGTTAAACGTCTTATTTAATTATTACTAATAATAAATTGAGATCGATGCAAAATGAAAAATTTCATCTTTAAAATCATGCAAAATGAAAAATGCAAGCAAGCTTAGTGTGCTTCATTTCAGATGAAAACACTAATGCCATTTCCACATTTAGATAAACAAATGTCATTTTGCTGAGAAACTCTTAATTTAGACTCTGTAGAAGAGTTTCATGAGGATGTCTCTCTGAAACATGAAGACGTTTATGGTTGCGTAGGCTTCCGCGGCCGGAGTTTATGTTGGCTGGGCTATCCGGGACAAGCCGCGTCGACATGCTGCGTCAGCAGTACGCTCTGAAGAAGGCCACAATACGCTGGCCGAAACGTCAGCCACCATGACTTCGACGCGGCTTGTCCCGGATAGCCCAGCCAACATGAAGACGTTTGTGAGTCGAAGCACTGAAGATATTCATTATAATTGACATGACATTTATTACATTATTACTAAAGAAAAAAAATACTTGTTATCGGTTAAAAAGGCGAGAAACATACATTGGGATTTCGCGGAATTGGGATTTGCCGGAATTGGGATTTGCCGGAATTGGGATTCATATCACGACAGTCATTGCAAGCGACTTTGCGACCGGGCTCGCCTCGACCTTACCAGCCAGTTGTCAGAATTTCAGTCCACTCGCCGTTCCCAAATGACGTTAGTGACCTCTCGAGTCTACGAGAGCGCTTCAAGTCGCGGAAATACGCACAAAGTTTGGATTTTAAAAATCATCCCTGCTCTTGCACTGTATCAGGTGGAACATCTAACACTACAATTTATGAAATTACATCGTAAATATTTGTCAGCTATATCCATGGATAATGAACAAAAAATAGTCTTTTTCAGGAAAGAAATGTTCTAAGGATCAAGTTTTTGGGTGATTGCTACTACTGCGTAGCAGGCGTACCTCAGTCAAATCCTCTCCATGCCAAAAGTTGTGTTGATCTGGGACTAGATATGATTGCCATCATCAAAGATGTCAGGTAATGTGAATTAATATATAACTGCCTTTAATCACTATATTTTCGTGCATTACATGTTAGCTTATTTCTTAATGAGATCGGATTGAAAAGGGATATTGTATCACGTTTGCTACGTTTCCTTGATCTAGTTGCCAGAGCCTCGGACCACTATTTTTATTTAGCCCTTACGTACTATCTACTAAACCTCTAAAAGTTAGTTTATATTATTGGAGTGCATTAAAGTACGAGCAATTTAGTCCACATTCAGCTAATACTTTAATCTTTCGAGGCAAATTCATTGAAAACAATAGAACAATAATTAAATGTGTTATTACTCCGACCATTCTGCGATCTATGCATTATATAATATAAATATTTTTATGTATGTTTTTCGAATGTTAAAGGAGACGTATTGAAAATGTTACGATAATTTACACACATTTTCGAACAGTTTTATCTTTAAAACGTTGTCACAGATTACTTCTTTAGTTTAAAAAGTTTATCAAGACCAAGAAAAGTCAAAACGCCACTTGCAAGCTGATTCCGTGTAGTGCATGTCCTTAGATACGCAGTGTATGTTTGCATTATTCCCTCTTGCGCTTTTCCAGTCTCGTCACTCCAGCAAATTCTTCTGCCTCATTTTCTTCGCCCGTTAATTTTTTTATTCCGAGTCAGCGCGTTTTCGAAAATAATATAACTTTCAGGTGATTAATGAGTTGTTGAATTAATGAGCATTGAATTAATGCTCATTAATGCAAACACACGATGCGAACACACGATACGAACATGTTTTAAAGAGCAAGAGAGGTTCCCTAAGCACTCGTTTTGGAATATGTGTATTTTTGCAATATGCAAATATGCAGTAATTGTCCAACCCTGGCGCGCGTAACCCATTTGCGGCCGTGTAGTGACTATAAAGCTTAAAGCAGTTTGCAGTTGACATCTTACTTGGCTTGTGAAAGGAGTTTGCAACATCGTCGGTGTTGATAGCTGAATTGCTTAACCACGCTCTTTGAAGTCATGGATATTAAGCAACTCGAGACTCCGCGGGTTCCCGGACGGATGACGGTCTGGAAAGTCCGGGGGTCGCCGAGCCCTTGACCGAAGGGATCAAGGAATGACTGACTACCGTAACGGAGGATTACTCTACGTTCGATGCCAGTAAATGGTTACGAAAATGTTGTTATGAAAAATGAACAGATTTTATAAAAAATAGAACTACAAGGAGACTTGGCCGCGCTTTCATTCGCTCACATTCGGTGCTCTCTAAAAATTGAATGAGTATATAATAATAGCTAATATAACACCTAATTATTTTACTACTTTCGCCAATTATAATTCGTCCTGTATAGCGCTAGCAGTCTCGGCGGTGTGAATATCAATCGCCTTGTAAAATTTCTACACACATTGACTTCGATTCGCCACAATTTCAGCCACTTGATCTGTAATAAATGCTGATTCAAGTACTTCTGGATTAGCTCAATCTTTTTTACGTTCAGGATTGAGCATTCAGAATCGTTACTTGGAACGTCCTATCTACTATGTTCGAATGAAGGAGGCAAAAAAGATATGATGAATTCATCGTTGTGTGTATTTTATGAACAAGACCGACTTCATATTTATTGTTAAAAGCGCTGGTATCGTCCTGGCAACTGGCCGGCGTCGTTAGCCGAATTACTTAACTCCGAGATATCATGGTAGTTAAGTAATTCGAGTCATCACAGATTTCTGGACGAGTGACCGCCTCGAAACCTCGGTTACTTACGACGTCGAGAACATGGAAGAAGGTATAAGAGGCACTGACTGACTGCGACGTTACGAGACCAAAAACAAAGACGTAATGGAAGACTACTCCAACATACACTCAATGCTCAACAAGGACTAAGAGACGTGTTGCGAAAATGACGTAACATATTAAAAAATAATATTTAAAAAACGTTGAGAAAGACCAGCCTGTAAGTCGGTCCTCATTGAAGTTGCCCCGTATGCGGTCTGCAATGCGAACGAGTTGATGCGTTAGACGTTAACCGCGGAGACATAAACCTATACGATTTGGCAGCATCGGGTTTTCCCTTGCGATGCGAAAAGTAGACATTTTTGACTGGTGCAACTTATTCGGAAGGTACTGAAACACGAAAATTGCATTACAAAATGATCTTTTGTTGACCGTTTGTTGCAGCATCTTCTGTTGGACGTCATTCGAGTTGTCAGCTGGACCGAGGGCAGTTTCAAATCTGAGCTCCTTAATGACCGCCAAACTTTATGTAGTGAAGCTCAGTTCGTTGTCGGGCGCGTGCATCGCAATATCTTCCAAAACATACGGAATTGACGGCGGTTCACCGACCGACTGAAACAGATTTAAGAACATTAGCAAGACTTTTCGCTCTTGCCGCGTTCGAATAAGCGTATTCTTGTGTGCTGGTCGGGAGAACGGAAGTACTGAAATAGATTACCTAGAAAAAAAGCGCTAATTCCCCCAGTATGGCACCTAACAAAATTTCCCATTTGCATGTCAACATTCATCTATTGATTTTGACTTAAAGTCTGACTAGCCTTAGCTCCCACTTTTTTTCTTAGATGCCACATGTTCTATCACAAACTATACGTTCCTAGAATTTTTTCCTAAAATATTTTCGTAGAAATTAGTTTGAAATATAGAGGATATAAACTGTAGGTATTTAAATGAACTTTGCTTCTACCTGGACCGTTGACGTTGTCAGTCACTGCTCCGGCGATTTTTTTTTTTTTTTGCTCAATCTATCCGTGGGTGGCGTGTCAATACATGGGGCATGGAATTGCTGAATAGTTTTTGTCAATGGCGCATTTCGTATAATGTATCCTGTGGCAGTCCATCTCTTCGCATTTCTGCAAGCACGGGAAACATTCAGAAGGAAGCTCTAAAAATAGAGTCATCATGAGAGGAATTGGAGTATTTTTTCAAAGCGTAACATCTAGCACCTTCACCTGATATTTGCTCGAATGGTACGGATACTAGGTATGAGAGGTTGGTGCATAAACGTCGCAGCCGTTCGCATGCCGTCTGCAAATAATTTGAGGTTACGATAGTCAGAACAGAAACGCGGGAGGTCTCTGTCGTATGCTTGGCGTGGAAGTCTCCAGCCAAGATGGCTGGTGTGCTGCTACAAATTTACCAGATTTGCATCGTCTGCCACTAGAGAGGCACAGGTCTAAGCTGAGCCGGGACTGGCATAACCAAAAATGAGGCAGCTCCTCATTCGGAGAACGAGGCCGTTGGCTTCTATGCGATGCAAACTGAAACATAATGGATTGTGTTGCGGCTTATTTATCTAGATGAACCACCTCTTCGCATGAGGGCCGTCCGAATTACCGGTTGCCCTGCAAGTGCTCCGTCAGCTGGGCAGGTGATACATGCGAAGCCATGTCTTTTCAACCGTCGCAACAAAAATATTATACTGAGTGAGAAAGCTGAGAAGCTGTGATAGGAGTGCATGTGATCCAATTGCCGATGAAATTCCAAAATAGAAACCGGCTTAGGTGGCTCAGGGAATTAATTGATGTCTCTGACCTGGAGGTCGTAGAATTTGAGTCCCGGCGGCGGCAAGATTTTCGACACTAGCTAAATAACGGTCAGCAGCTCTGATCGGTATTTTCCCGAGGTTTCCCAGGTTTTACCGGGTGAATGCCGGAACAGTACCCTTAGAAACGGGCAACCTACCGCACGCGATATTTCCTTCCGCTTCCTTGTCCTATCCACACCACTTACACACACACACGTACATGCATTACACTACCATAGATGTCTGGTGACCAGTCGGGAGATTCGAGCTTGTCCCGACTCGGACAGTGCCCCGCTGGTGGAAGATACCTGGTTAAGGGGGAGTGCGCTAGGGGTAGTGCTCTAGCCGACGTGGAGGTCGGTGCCGGATCTCACCATCCAGCGGGAATAATTATCGCTACCTTCCGTGATAAAAACATGCACTACTCTCAAAGGGCTAGTGACCTTGGCAGTTGAGGCGCCCAGAATCACTAATCATCAATCATCAATCCATTGAATCCATCAATAATCATCAATCCATTGAAAATACAACGATCCTTTGTTTCCTTTAAAACGAAACAACCATTAATTAAGAGTGAGAGAGGATTGCGCTGAAGTTGGGGAGGGAAGCCCGTCCGCCGCCTCCGCTGCGGCAGCCGTCGCCACCTCGTATGCGTCCTCAACGAGTTGGGGCACGATATCCTGGAGGATGCGTTGCGGCCCCCGCTCTTGTTGGCAATCGCAGGGGTGCAATACACGTCAGCGCATGCGATACACGCGTGTGTAACCCGTTTATTTAATCCCGTTTCGAACGAGATCGTTCATAACGCTGTTCATCTGTTCGTCCAGAAAGGACGAGGCGAAGCGAGTGGGCGCCGTTCGCTGAGCACGCTGCACGAGGTCGGCACGCTCCTTGCCAGTGATGGCGGCGGTAGGCCGTCGAACGGATGGGGCGAGGAGCAGCATTCAGCCACTCTGTCCGCGAGGATGCTGATCTGCCGGCACTGTTAGATTGATTAATAAGTGTTTACGAAGGCGTCAATTACTTTAGTCATTATTCCCGTAAGTAGGATTTATACATCGGGAGGCGGTAGTATTCCTCTCCCGCTGGAACGTGAGAATCGGCGCCGACTTACACGTTGGGGTTTTTTCTGGTACCTTCCCCAGCTGGATTCCGCCCCAGCCGGGGTGTACTCTAAGCTCCAGATTACTTCTCTGACACTCCCCTTACACACATCTATCGTGTAGGGGATGTGAGTGTAAGGGGAGAGGAAGGCTGAAATACGAGGAAAAATCGATTGACAGCAAAACGTGTGTGCGTCCGTCCGTGTTCAGCGACAGTATCTAAACCGTTCGGGTGGTTTTCTCCAAAAGTGATATTTCCTGATCGATCTGAACGAACACGAGGTTGTGAGAGTTTCAAACGGATATTTTAATTTTGGAGATTACTTTACATGTAGCCTCAATATCTTCTAACCATTATGGCTCATATATTTTTATTAGCTTTCTCTTCGGATATAGTAAAGAACTAAAATGTGGCGCTGGTCACATTCCCATTGAAAACCTGATTTATCGAAAATTGCAAATATTTTCAGCGTCTATCGTACCACAACATTGGAGATAAGAGATTTTATTAATGAAATCTGCAGTTCAATAACAGATCTTGAAATAAAGTCGTGTACAACTTTTCGAAAATATGAGCAGTTTGCGACATTGTTGGGTAAAATATAAACACTTTTTAAACAAAATTGGATATATCTTTTTCCTACATGTAGTAAATTACTTCTCCATCACGTTGAGTTGTCAGAATCCATGTTTCCTGGGTTCATGATACCGAAAAATCTATTGTCAGCAAAACGTCTCTCTCTCTCTCTCCCTTCTCTCTCTCCCTTCTCTCCCTCCCTTCTCTCTCTTCCTTCTCTCTCCCTTCTCTCTCTTCTCTCTCCGCTCTCGTCTCTCTTTCCTCTCTCCTCTCTCTCCTCTCCCCCCTCTCTGCTCTCTCTCCTCTCTCGTCTCTCTCATCTCTCTCCTCTCTCCTCTCTCTCCTCTTTCTTCTCTCTCTCTCTCTCTCTCTCTCTCTCTGGTAGTTAGAGCCTAAACTCTCAGAATATTTTCTTCAAAATTGATATTTCACGATTGATTTGAAGGGTCTCAAGACTCTGAGACATTGAAACGGATATTTTGATTTTGGGGGGCACTTTACATTAAGATTCAATATTTTCAAAAGTTCCTCAAAAATAGCTCCTAATAATTTGATTAAAATTTCTCCTCGAAGAGCATACAGAACTCTTTCAAAAAAGGCGCGGTTCTCATTTTCGTTTAGATCCTTTTGTTGAAAAGTTTAAATAGTTCAATTTTTTTTCGATGTCATTCTACATCTACTATACTATAATGAAGTCAGAAATTTTTAACTTGAAGAAATACATTGTTCAAGGATAGATCTTGAAATATGGTTATGTTTACTTTTTTCGAAAATAACAGATTTCGCCTTTTCTCTTACTTAAAATACGATACAATAGAATGCTACCCTCTTAACAAACCCGCAAAATTGTTAGACATCAAAATAAATTAGAGAAAACATATAAATGTCAAACTGACCGAAACAAAAATAAAAGAATCACAGTTAAGACCATCAATCTACAAAAAAAAAGGATCGGAGGATCTTTTTTCAAGAAAAACTTGTATTTTGAGCCTCTGGTATCAAAAAAGTGGATAAATCTTGTTTCTATACATGGTAAATTACTATCCACGTTTTGTAGGCCCTTGATAGATATAATTTGGTTGGCGGTTGTCCGTTTGTATCTCGTCAATGAAAATGCCTAAACCGTTAGCAAGATTTCTCCAAAATTGATTATTGATTATTATTAAAATTGATTATTTCCCGATCGATCTAGACGATCTCGAGACCCTGTGGATTTTCGAAAGTTTGAGAAGTTCAAAATGTTTTCGACCTTTTTCTACAATTAGAATATTGAAAAAAAATCCTCAATAAAATGAGTTTTTTAAAAGATTTTTGAATATAATGATGTAGAATATTTCGAAATATGAATAGTTTTTTTATTAATTTTACGTAAAATATAAACAGTTTATAAACAATTATATTCTCAAAAACTTCTCCAATTTTCTTCTTTAATTTTCCCCCGGATGCTTAAAAGTGGTGCTGGTCCCTTTTCCGTTGATCCCTGAATTTTTGAAAACTTCAAAAAAATTAAATGAATAATGGGATGTTAGAGATTTTCAAAAAAAATATGTTCTAAAAATGTAGAAATTAAATACGATAATGCACATTTTTTCTAAATAACTTTTGCTTGAGGAGATGTAAGCTAATGATTCCTAGTTTTTTAGTCACGAGCGCTAATCGTACGTGAGATATACCCTCTTCTCACACTCTCGCTCCAACAAGCAATCTGTATGTATTTCGGAGATTATTTAGGTGACCCTCTGAACAGAGCGTGTACTCAGGATTGCCTAACCACACGGTACCATTCACTCGTTTTGAATCCATCTCAGTTCAGACTACGATAACTCTAAATAGAATGTTCAAATGAATCCCGTCAGTCACACATTTTACTTTGAACAGTTATTTCAATGTCATTCTAAAACCACACAATATCAGACAACCATGTTTATGTATCATTACATGCAAATTAGTAATTTTGGTTTGATTTAGATAGGAACGATGCAGATACGAACCTTGTTAGAGGATTGGTTTCAATTAATCGGTAGAGAAAAGTAATGCTATTAAACTTCCAGGGAATCTTGCGATTTGCGGCATGGCTTGGATATGAGAATCGGCATCCACTCAGGAAGTATATTAAGTGGATTAGTGGGAATTAGCAAATGGCAGTATGATATTTGGTCTCGTGACGTGATCATCGCAAACCATATGGAACAAACGGGTCAACCTGGGTAAGAAAAATGAAATATGTCATTGCTGTATGTGATGTGCTGTTCTGATTTATAACTTCAGTATGATTTTGCAGTAAAGTGCATGTTACTAAACAAACTCTTGACCTTCTGGAAAATAAATATAACTACAAGCCTGCAGATGGAGCTACTAGAAGTGCGCTTCTCCAAAAGAATAATATTGAGACATTTTTTATTATACCAGCTCATCAGGTAAATTTTCATATTTTTTTATTTTATTCTACAATATTATCTCGAAATGCTACAAAATTAATGTTACTGATTTAAACATACTTTCTAATGTCAAAATTCAACAGTGTAAGTAATAACAAATATATAATACAAAAAATAAATAACATATATGACACACACACATATATTGTTCGCAATAAAGACAGAAATAGTTAGTTGTCAACATTACCTAATTTACATTCATCTTTAATGTAAGTTTCCTCCAAATATAGAAAAAATAAACGTTTTAATGGTTTATCTTTTAATTTTTACTAAATGAAAATTGTTGATTGACAGCCAAAGATTCACCATTTCGCAGACCCATCGTGTAATATGCATTGACTGGATATATTGAAAAAGTACATCTAGACCAGAGATTCTCAAAGGGGTCGATTAAATTTTGAAGGAAGTCAGTGATGATAAAGAGGTCTATTGGGGGTCAATGGCCGAATATGAACTGGTACTGACTAACTAAAGAAATTATAACAAGGCATTCTTCGAGATATTTACGAGAGTATTTGTATAAAAAATTATTCTAAAGCAATTGTATGCAAACCTTTGTTATAACTACCGATGATATGCATTATTTAGAAAACGTAAGGGGATCGATGAAGCAAGAAATTCTCTCAAAAGAGGTCGGGCATCCCTGATTTAGACAATTGATCGATTTATTAGATATAGGGTCGTAATAACAAATATATATTTGAGGATATAATATATATAAAGAATGACACCCGAATATCATTTTTGTTTTCAAACCAATTTTTTCTTTCTTAATTCCAGAATCTTTCAGAAGAAGCTGCAAACGGAGTTCGCCTTTTCAATCCAAAACAGAGCGCGAGTACAAAAAAAACACATGCAGCAATTAAGGCGGTAAGAAATTAAACTTCTTTTCGACGTATTACAAACAATTACACTCAATTTGTATTTAAATGAATATTTTTTGTTTTCAGTACTTATTAGTTTGTATTAATATTATAAAGTTGAAAACATGTAAATTTTAAAAAGTAACACAAAAACATCTAAATTCATAGCTACTCCATTCCTTCTCTTTTGTTACATTCGCCGTGGCATTTTATACAAAGATATTGCCATTAACACCGAGCTTTTCATCTTAAGTAGCAACATTATGCCGCAACTTTCAATACATTAAATTAGTGGTGCTACAACTGCACATACTTCATCGCATTACTTCTAACTTTTGATATTTTTTAAAATTAAAAAGATCAACAAAAGAAACATGCGCCAATTCTTAAGCGTTCTTTACATTATCCTAGGGGAGAAACTAGAGAAACATCCCTTGATATAACATATAAAAATTACATAAACACCAAGCAGAAATTACGCAAAAATTACTATTTTTAATGTAAAGTAAAAAATGTAAATTTAAATGTAGAAATGAAAATGTAAATTTAATGTAAATTTAATGTAAATTTTTGAAAATGAGTAATTTTGCGTTAAATGTGAGTAGTTATTAAACAATTAATCCACAAAATCGTCTTCAATTTTTTTCTTTAAACTTTTTTCACGTGTGTAAAAAAACGGTAAAACAGTAGTGCTAGTCTCATTTCCGACAAACTCTATTTTGTAAATGGGAAAAAATTAAAATTTCTGAACTACAATTTTGATGTTAGAGATATTGAATTGAAATCCGTACTGAATACCAGATCTTTTAAAAAGATAACGTACATTTAAAACTAGAGCTGCTACAACACATACTTTCTAACATTGTTTCTAAATTTGCAATTTTCAAAAATACAAAGAGTTCAACAAAAATGACCACCGCGCCATTCTTTTGAGCATCCTTTCTTCTATCCGTGGAAAAAAATAGGAAAAATTTTGAGATGTTTTTGAAAAAATATTTTATTTAGAAATTGCATTAATTTCGAGACAAAACACGCGAAAACTACTTAAAATCTGTTCATGACCTTTTTTAAATAGTTTAGATTGTGCCTCAGGCAAAAATCTTTATCTTCAATTTTGCGGTTTTGAAATGTTAACTTTACTTTTTACAAATTACAAATTACAATTTTCGAAAATAGAGGGTTCTCACAAAATGGGAATTTTTAATATTTAATATATATTATATTATTAATATATATATATATATATATATATATATATATATATATATATACATACATATATGTAAATATATATAATTAATTGATTAATTTTACACTTAATAAAGCAATTTTCAGCTTTCAAATTGCACTAATCCTCCAAGGAAACCTTCAATATCACAATTACATATTTTATTTTCAGAAATATTCATATGAGTAGAATTATAGTATCATTAAAGGTGTACGTTCAATTTTGAATGCCACACTATACAAAACAGTTTCGTTGGAAGAACTAAGAAACGTAGTTTTAGTTTTCAATCCTCCAAAAAATTAAAAATTAAGTTAAAACTCTGGGTCCGTGGAGTTTGTGTAATTTTAAACTGTGCAAACGGTAGCGAAGGTCGAAAGGTTTAGACATAGGAAAGAAGTAATTTTACCGCACTCTTTTCTATAAAGTAGTAAAGATTCACACGCCACCAGTAGGTTACCGTACGGACGGGTCACGAACACCTACGACAGAATCGAACTTCACGAGGCCTATATCAAGACAATTCTGAGTTATTTTAGGCCTGAACTATTTCTGATATATAAGCGAACACAGCGTGCATTTGCATAAATCATTTATATTAATGCGCTATTAGCTGTGTATGCGTTGTGGATTCCCATCTCAAAGTGTAGCGCAGAGCATAGAAATAATTTTACCGCACTCTTTTGGAATACGCGCTGATTCAGAAAACTGTTGGAATTCATTCATTTAGGAAAAAGCAAGAATCAACATGGTAACATGATGTGTTGCGCTTATTCGTTCTGTTTGCAAGAGTTTATTTCCATTGTTTTATTGAACTATCATTTCTTGTTTTACTTTCTCGTATAGTAAAGAATAAGTAGTGCATTAGCATTAGCTTAGGGAAAGTCATGTAATCATCTACAGCACATACTTCCTCCTATTACATTTTATGCATACGATTGCGTAATTTTTATTTATTTAACACCAAAAACAATTAAAAACTTAATGTCGTGTAGGAGATAAATATAATCTGCGCTCGTTTTCTTGAGCTCCGGAAAGGTGCACACGTTAACCAAATAATACGACTACCTCTTTAGATTGTCACAGTTTCCTTGCCTTCCTAACGCCTCCAATCATCGACACCTCTACCCAGAAACCAAAGCAAACAGACTAACAAGCGCAAACAAACAATACGCGTAGAGTTGCACAACCCGCCCCATTAATGATCGAGGACATTCCCATAAAACCCACCCGAAAGATTCTAATTTGAACAGTTAGCCATTCTCTTCCTCGCTCATTAGGAAACTACCATGCAACTTCTCTGCCATGAATGTGTTTGAATCTAACGGGACGTTTTCCGACGTGTCAAGTAAGTTCAAATATTCAAACAATATACAAGTAATCAAACAAAAACTCTTACCAAAGGAGACCAACTCTTACCATAGTCATCATAAGAGGGGAGAATAACATTAATTTGGGCGGTTCCTCATAGTCACCTACATTTTTTACGAAAATAAATTAAAATCCATACGCAATCAAATCCATTTTACTTTAACAGGCCGAATTACGAATAACATATTAACATATCCGCGTAGCAGTGTCTGAGAGAGACATCAGTTAATATTGTCAACAAAACTTGTAAATGAAAGCAAACATATACAATTTTGTTTTAATTTGCTCTTAATTGAAAAAATAATTGACTCTCGTATACTAACACTTTTTAAAGAAACGTTTCTTTAGTTCAGTGTTCTTTAGGAATAATAATATGATATTTTAAAGGTAAAAATATAATTTTTAATTTTACTATTGATAAATCTATTAGTTTACCATAAGCGTATTGTCAACTTGTACTTGCAAAATTTAGTATTGCTCAAATTTTTGCATTTCTATTGCAAATGCTGCTAGTAACATCTCAGCAACATTGCAGAGATTGTAAAATAGTTGTCTAAAATTATACTCATTTTTTATCAACTGAGCAGTCAATAAACATGTACTCCGTGAATGTCAAGCTTTCAGTTTTACGTGTTCTGTACTACTTTTTTGGCTATTTTCATTATTTGTATTTGGTATACAATAATGCTCAAACTAGTCAACCACGCTCGAATAGTAACACCCTATTGGCTACGTTATTCACCCTAAAATATATTACAATAATAATAAAATTAATAGTGCGCTATAAATAATACAACCACCTACGATATAACTCATTGGTAATATACATTTTGTGCGTATTGTTGTCCGTTCAACAATGTGCGATCATGGTGCCAGACGCATCTGTGCCCTGACGCCACTCCCATTCTTAATTTTCAAAAATATCTTGAGGTTAAAGGAGATTTTGAAGATATAGCAAAGATTTTAGAACATATTGAGTCATTTTGAAAATAAATAAATATTTTTGATTCTCTGCGTTAACTGTGGAAAAGCCGTGTCACTAAGACACCACTGTGCTTTTACGGGTTAAAGAATTTTTTTTTTTGTTTGGTTGGGAAGTACGGGGATTTCCGAAGCCAGATGCTTACCCACTACGCTAAGACGATTTATCGCGGTCAACCTGCGTCATTGAACTTGATAATTCATTGAAGCGATGGTTCTAACATCTAAATATAGTACAGGTTCTAATCTTTAAATATAGCACTGGTTCTAACAGGTAAATATAGTTGTGATTCTAACACTTAAAGTGCAAATGTATCGCGATGTAACTCAAAATTACACAAAAATTACAACATTTGTAATAATAATGTCCACAAAATGGTTTAAATATCTGATAATGAAGTATAAGTTGTATTAAGAACTAAATCCCTATCTTCAACATTGAAAGTGTAGAACATTTGTTTTCGTTTTTTACTACTTTCGTAAATAAGCAGACGGTTACAGCACAGAAAAATTAATCTTCATACCTGTTACATTGATTTCATACAGGCTTTCGATACCGTTGTTCATAAATGGCTATAGTAAATACTGGAAATGTATAAATTTATCTAAAAATAAGAAATATCCTGAAACGTTAAATGAACAAATTTTGTACAACTTGATAATTTCAAGGTAATATGTTGGGAAAAGCTCTCTCATTAACTTACTCCATTAAAATATGTTATTTTGGAGTTGCATCATTTGTCCTTAACATGTCCTTACAGTTGTTGTTTTCTCAAGGGCCGTCGTTCCTCGCCGGAGGTAATGGCTGTCTCCAGAAGAAGAACGGCATTTATGGACAATCATCTGCACCAGTACCAGGAAACATTAAGGAAAGCAGAAAATCATATGGAAAAATCCATAGAAAGAATGCATCTCGGAATTTACGAGTATGTTTTTGAAAACATTAATTCTAGTTTATATTATACTTCCACTTAGTATATGTAAGAGCAAGAGTTAAGCTGACATGTTTTCTTTTACAGTCGTTGGACGTGCCGGGAAGATATTAACCCTTTCTGCCTTACTTTTGAGGTTTTGAGTTGGGAACTGCCCTTCATTCAACAGCCGGATCCTCTTTTCAAATATTATATTGCCTGTTCACTCGGGGTACTGATTTTCATGTTCCTCATCCAAGGTATTGGGATTCCAAGGTACAAATCTTAAAATATATGAAACAACATCCCTTTTGTTTAATGTATTTTAATTAGCATTGTATATGAAAATTCGGAAACAAGTTGCTTTTGATAACATACAATCGTGTATTGACGTTTGTCTTGCAATGTTTTACCCATCGGTAACAATTCCTTGCTTTTACCGATATAATTGTAATTTTACCTTAATTTGAAATACAATTATGTTTGCAGTTATCACTGGATAGCATGGACAGGGTTTGGAGTAGCTCTGACGATTTTACTTTTTTGCATCCCCTTGACGTGGACATATTTTCTATGGAATAAATTTTGGGATCCTCATGGTGATGAGGACGATACTCCAGAACCCAAGAACTGCATAGTGAAGTTTCTTTACGATCTGTCATTTAATGCATCATCAAACGCTATTTTTCGAACTTGCTTGTACATTATTGTTTCCGCAGTGTTATCTGGGACTACTCTTCTCGAATTGGTAAGTTGAGCGTCAAGAATAGTGTGTAATCTAAAATATTATTTAGTATGTACTGACAAATAATAAATTAAGTGAATCGAAAGACTTTCGTGGTCACGGAGAGTTCGTAAGTAATAAAATATTTTACATTTACATCGAATTTCAAAACAATGGCGCACTCCCAACGATTGGTGTAAGTTGGAAAGTTGGATGTGTTAAAGTGTCCATATTTTAGATAAATCACTCCATGTTTGAGATAGTTTTTCAAATTGAACGCCATATAAGAAGTGTATCTCTGCTCCAAAATTAATGATATAAATGACTTGAATCACCTGATAATATGACTGTCGCAGTGCAGTCGTTAAAGGTGAAGGAACTCGCATCGTGCTACGATATCCGAACACTTTTTTTAACAACTTTTTGAACAATAAGTTCGAGAAAGTCTGCAATGGATATCTCAAAGATTGTCATTAGCTAAGGTCATTAGTTCCGTAAGGCTAGTGCATTTTTTATCGCGAGAGGTTGTGGTGATCTTCCCCCGCTGGATGGCGAGATCTGGCGCCCACCTATACGTCGCTCAGCGGTTTTTCTCAACAATGTATCTCCAACAGCGGGACGCCGCGTATTATATTCACTTATCAACTATGTGGCAACACTGCCGTGGAATCTGGTGTTTTCGTAGGATGTAATTCCATTTCTCTCCAGATTAAAAACCCATCCTATAATGAAATAAAATACAGACGTCGCAAATGATTAGGGGAGTAATTGTTTATTCCGGTAACACTGAAGCATTTGCAGACACTGATACATACTGAGCACGCGGAAACCAGTGAACATACATACGAGATAATGAATTGAATTATTTAATACACAGTACTACCGACACATTATGTTTCTACTAGAAATTTTAAACAAAGTTTTCAGGTATTATTTTATCTGTTCAAGTACATTGTTTTTCGTTCTTACTTTTTTAAGTGTCAAATCTTGTAATTTCACTTCGTAATTAGAATATTGTAATTTTGTTCGCTGTTTTCATATTATTTTAATGTATTTATTTTCTTTTTCAGGTTGATTGCAGGAAAAGTGCTTCCACTCAACATGAATGCTTAGCTTCATGGGTAAGAAAATAATAATTCATAATATGATATTATTCATTGTATAATTCATTGTATGATATCGCTGTATAGAGTGAATATTTAAAACAAAAGTTATTTACGACCAATCCACATGATTATATAAAATTGTTATTTATTTTTTGTTTGAAATTGATGAGCAATAAAACAATATGAAAATAGGCTCGAAAATTATGCGTGAAAAAGCTAATAAAGATCATATAATTTTGCAAGTGATTACTTTATCGCCCTTATGACCTACGAATCTACTGGTATGACAACAGCACATACTTACTCGCAGTATTTGTAACGGCTCCGCAACATTATACTACTTCATGAACCTGCAAAAGTGTTTTCAACCAGAAAAAGAATGTTTCCTCGCCGAGTCTAGAACGCAGATACACTGAGCCGATGGCCATAGCGTTACAACCAGACAGTGGCGCGGTTATACGAATATGGTCCGACGCCTAAAATCTAATTGAAAGCTCTAGTCATAAAAAATTCAGAGTATTTACAATATTGTTAATTTTATTAAAAAATAAAACCCTCAAACCTCCTGATATATTATGAATAGCTTAAAGACCTTTGCGGTAATTCACATTACAGCGAAGCCATGTTTGATGTGATGCTGATGTTATATTTAATTTGAATGTGTCGTAAAACTAAGCGTTTTATCTCTTCAGGTACTGTCAGTGGTCAGAAAGAAAATGTTTCCATAGAAATGTCCATAAAAGTTACAAATTCAAATACAAATTTAATTTTAGGCTCCAATTAAACTATTATATAAAAACTTTATTCATAAATATAACAAAAGAACACCATACCACAGAAACAATTTCAAAATTTCATCAAAAATACAAATTTTAATTTGAGAAGTTACGGTTGTATGTTCATCAGAACCAGACCAATCAGAAGATGTAGTATACGAGTATTTAGTTAATAAAGTATACAGAGGCAAAACACTACTTGCAAAAACTCATATATCTGCATCAATATGATATAATTTTATTGTTATGACTAGGGATTAGTTATGGCTACAGATTGAGAGATGTATGTTCATTATAATGAAGCTAAGAACTAACAATATAGTGAGACTATCATTAGTTTGATTCTTCTGATTGGTCTGGTTCTGATGAACATACTTACTCAACTGTAACTTTTCAAATTGAAATTTGAATTTCAACAACATTTTCGACTGTTTTTGTGCGGTATGTTTTCCTTATGTTGAAGTCTATAACATTGTTCCCCCGTCTCCGAGATTATCTAGAAAGGAGCAACTGAACCAAGATTGAAAATTGGTTGTTTCCTCTTTGTATTTATTATTACTGAGGGTTTAAGAATATGCTACCAAAAAAGATTTCGGAGAAAAGATGGGGTGGCAATCGTCATTGCAAGTTTGTGTTGGAAGTCGGCGCGTCCGCCCGGGCATTCGCAAGCTGCGGAACTCGAAGTCTTTGGATCAAACTCAGCCGCTGGAGGGGATTTCTAGCGGCCAGTTGCTCTAATCGGTTGTTTTTCGAGGTTTCTCCGCTCAACACCAGGCGAATGCCGGAGTAGTACCCCTAACAAACGGCCACGGACCGTGCGGTATCTTTCATTCTTCTTCCTTGTCCTATCCTCGCCCCTTACATACACACACTTACACTCACATGCACAACACTACTATTGTGTCAGGAGACCAGCCGTGAACTTAGAGCTTGTCCTAGCTAAAGCGGTGACACACTGGTGGGAGGTACCTGTTCGAGGAAAATCCCCGAAAGTCGACGTACTATCTTAAATAATTTGTATTTCGTTTGTTCCGTATTGTTCCACCAGAATTTTCGTTTGTAACTTTCGTTTGTTTCTTGAATTTGTAGCATTTTTATGGACTTTTGAAACATTTTTTGTTGACCATTGACAGTACCTGAAGAGGTAAAGCGCTGAGTTTTTCGAAACGTCAAACGTAGTTTCACTGTAACGTGAATTACCTGAAAAGATCTTCCAACAATTCATAATCATTGTTAATTTTTTTCAATTATTTACTTTCATGTTTCACGTTTAATTGTGATATTTTCAATTCACATTTCATTTTCCGCGTCAGTTAACTTCTATTAGGAAATTGGAAAGTGTTTCTACCATTGTCCAAGCATATTCCTGCTTTTGTATAAAAAATAATGCTTGATACGTTTTCTGGAAATATTGGGGTAGATTGATAGTCATAATGAAAAATATTAAACAAAGGCTAATATATTTTCTTCGATTCAGTTTCTTCAATTTAAGTTTCTTTTTCACCTTTATTTATTTCAAATTTAATTAATTTATTTTTTTACATTTTCAGCACATAACACAAACATGTTCTCTGGTGATACTAATGAATTACTTCTTCTTGAGGATACACTTCCAGCTGAAATTGATCATGAGCTTACTTGTCATGGGAGTGTATGCATATGGAATATGGAGTATACATCCTGAAATTTTCCAGGTAACTGAATTCATAATACTCTAGACATGTAGACTACAGAAGTACAAAAATACAAAAAATATATTAGATTATATTAAAGAATAAGAAATATTACACTGCAGGTAAAAATTTAGGAAACCTTCCGGTAATCATTATTAGAATATTATTTGGACCGTGTTGTGTAGAAAGCTACCAACATTAAAATTTTTTTAGGTACAGTAGGGAATGTGTCATGAGAATGTGCCACAATCCTATGGTGTACAAAAAATGTAATCATATCACTCATTAATATTTATTGATTTTTATTAGTGGTTATTTATTTTCTGTATCTTCTAATTTTAGGCGATCATTGGTATAGATTAAAATGGAAACACATCAATTAAAAAGCATATATTTGGAATTTTTAGTACATGTAACATAAGCATTCTAAAATATCGAGTATTAAAAAAAGAAGGAAAAAGTTCAAAATAAATAACATAAACGGTTGAGATGCATCTAACGTTATTTTGTACACTTTGATCTTAAAGTTGCCATTTCTGTACCGTAATAAAGAGAGGGCAAATACTTTCTCTGTACCAACGTACTACATACATTTTCAATGCAAAATGTGAACGTCGGAATACCATAAACATAGATATCATTTTTATTGGTCACCCGGGATCGTAAGTTGTACTAATGTGTGGGTATTTCCTAATGTGAGTATTTCTAGGAACCACATTTGCGGATTTGTATCTAACTAGTCGTAAAAAGGTATTTTCCGACCACATTTCCCTGAACCCCAACTTGTTTCCGTTAAACGTTAGAATGATGATTTCGGGCTCGTGAACTGCCAAAGTCATTGGTTCCATAAGTGTAGTGGATGTTTCCCCTGAGATAGTGGTGATCTTTCTCCACTGGACGATGAGCTCCAGCACCGAACTACCTGCGTGTTTTTCCTTAACCAGGTATCTTCCAAGCACCGCCCCAGCCGGGATAAACTCTGAGCTCTCGCCATGTGTGGTAGTGTAGTGCATGTGAGTGTAAGTGTGTGTAAGTAAGGGGTGAGGTTGGGACAAGGAAAGAGAAGGAAAGATCGCGCGCGGTCCGTGATCCATTTGTTAAGGTGCTGCTCCGCTTACATGTACTTGGTATTTATCGCAGAAACAACGCAAACTACAGATCAGAGGAGCTGGTCACTAGAATTGTCGCCCTCACAGCGACAGAACTCGATCTAGCTCTCTAGCTCTCGACAATACTCGAAACTCCTGCCACCGTCGGGGATCGTACCTAGGATCAACCAGTCAGAAGCGCTGGATTAACATTAGTTAATGCCCTGAGCCACTTCTCCCGGTCTGCTAAACGAGAGATAACATTTGTTATAATTATATTTTGTCAACAACGCTAGTCGCTAACTTATTTCAACTAATCTTAGGAAAGATGTGAGGGTAGGTATTCTTGGGCTCAAAGGAACCTGCGGGTATAATACCAGCCTAGTTCCAGAAAATGCAACTGATCGGTATAGTACGTAAATGGCTACTTAAAACGGAAAGTGTACAAAACAATTGTAGGCATGAAAGTCCACAAATTCAACGAAAACGCTCTTACTCCATTGAGTAAGTCCAATTTAACCAAACGATTAAGGGATATATGTTCGTATGTGCTTCATTATGATGTATTTTCAATTAAATGAATAAATCCTGGCAATTATAGGATCACTCTTCTTATCGTCTGTACAATTCCATTTGTCAACTTGAAAATCTGTGATGCCTGATAGTACGAGTATTATGCTATTTAGGAGGGAACTGACAAAGCATGTAAACCGAATTATATTACTGAATTGGCGAGAATGCTGAAAAAATAACAATTGTCTCGATTTTGAATTCAGTTTATATCAAATGTTTGTTTTATTTGAAATTTGTTTGAATCGAAAGATCTAAACGTTTTTTCCTTACCTGTAGCAATTATTTATTTAAAATGTAAAGGCTTATCTCGATATTAGTTATCTGGATAAGTGTTAAATGTTAATGAATATATTAGTGTCTGTTATCTTGTTTATTTTATTGCAATGATTTTCTGACTTTAATAAAACAGTCAGTCTTTTGTAAAACAATTTTTTTTTCAAAAAAAGAAATTGTTATAAAAGATACTGAATCTGTTTTATTAAGGTCATACAAAGCATTTCAATAAAATTCTAAGTGTTAAAATTCATTGTCACGGTTGCAATTTCACTTCTTTTAATCTATTCTTTTGGAACCAATTTAAAATATCTGAGATAGTATTGTTTACTGTTTCTAGAAGTCTCGCATTTCTCGTAGTGTCTAGTTCTTATTATTATTGTCAGAAGAGGCGTAAAGTTTCCATCGTAGTTTAAAAACTGTACTTTCACCTTTAAGAAAGTGCATATGAAGATCACTATATTAATCAAGGAACGTTCATACAGGTCAAGGAAACTTGGAATCCTGGTTTACCTCCACAAGTCGCTCATATTATGAGTCTTGTATTTCTCTCATTTTCCCTGCATTTAATGGATCGACAGGTAAGTGGGAAAAATATTATTTTATAACCAGAGACGAAATTCAACTTTCGTATTGTCGTGTTACGTTTTCTGAGGTGATGCATGCGTGTTTATTTTGTCTACTCATATAGTTGTGGCATACTATTTTTATAGCGCCATGCAGTAAAATATCCTTCACGGAGGACCTCTTTTATTCCTTGGAAAAGAGTCTGGTTTAGAGAAATGTCCACAAAAAAGGATGTCTAATATTGAGTAGCATGCCATACGATACCCGAGATACTCAGTGTAGAGGGGGGATCAAAGAAAGATATTCTGCAGATTAATAATCCATTTAGACGAGCTCAATTTGATTTATCGCTGAACCCAAGTGTAAATATAGTCCAGATTGGCAGAAATTGAGAGAGGTGACCTGCACCTTTTTTCACCATCAATTGCAACGTACGAAGAGAAAGTTTTAAGAAAAAATCGAAGCTATTTTGCATAAAATAATTGTTATATTTTACAGAAAATTACGCGAACACTATTCACATTTTCTAAAAATTAAGCATGTTATTATTTCAAGATCTGTCTTTTAATAACGATTTCATTAAGAAAAGATAGCTTATCTTCAATATTGTAGTTGTAGGAAAACTCCGAACTAATTTTGAACTTTTGCAGTTTTAAAAAAACAGGGATGTCAACCCAAATTAAAATCACCACATTATTTAGAGGTTTTCTAAACATTTATTTAAGGTCGCTTTTCAACAACTGGGTTATAAGCGACCACGAGAATCAATTTTTAATTTTCACAAGAATATACATTTTTTACAGTTATGCCATTATATACAATTACATAAATTTATACAAGCATATAAATTGTCAAAATGTATTTATATTGTGGGTACTTACATAATTAGGATGGGTACACATATTTAATTTTTTTAGAGTTATTTCTGCTATCCGAAGACAAAATTTATTTAAAATATTTGAAGACATGTTTGAAAAAATTTTGAAAATGAAATTGATGCTTCATGTACAGAACCCTCAAAAACCAAGATAACCCCTTCAAACTCGCAGGACCTCGATTCCAATTAGATCTATTGGCAAATATCAATTTGGAGAAAATCGTCTGAACGGTTTAGACGCTAGCGTTGATTACAGATAAAAGGACAGATAGAGGTACAGGCAATGTTTTGTCGTCAACCTACTTTTCGATATCAAGGACTCACAAAACATGGATTCACAGCGTGTTAAAAGAAGTAATTTACTACTTATGAGAAAAGGATGTATGCAGTATTTCGTTAACAAAGTCCGGCAATAAGAGTTTTCTGTCGAAAAATCGCCGTTTTCCGGAGCACGATTACAATACTTTGTCTTCTTAAGAAGTAAGGTGAGGTCCTAAAACCTAGGTGTGAGGCACCCCAAAGGATATTTTACTTCCGTTAAAATCGCTCTACTAGTATTTTGCAGCCGTATAATCTGCACTACATACTTTATGTCACGTTTTATCCAGATCTGATTAATTACGATTCAATCTAATAATGTTCAGATTTTCCAAAATGGATGGATTAAGTGCGAAGTAGAACCGCTTCGAAGCATAAGCGGACTGAAGCCTGATTTAAGCACATTAGCTGACAGGAGATAGCTACGAGAGGTGAAGTATCGGTGTCAAGGAATAGGTAGTATGTGATAAACAGGAATCAGTCTGATGGTTAAAAGTTTCGTGAATTTTTTAGTTACATGGTGTCAGCAGTAAATTTCCATCCACACGATACCACCTAACATACTCTCCTGTATTTAGCAATTATGTGTCTCGCAAAGAGCAATTGGCCTAGAATCCAGGGTTCCTGGTAGGTCACCCAACCAGGAACACGCGATGTCTCGAATTTGCTTAACCCTTGTGACATCACGTAAAAGACGATTTCGGCCACAGTCACCGGTTTCGCGGTCGTAGCCTTTTAGAAGAACCATCCCAGCAGTCGCCTGAATGGACGAGGGAAACCACGAATTCCCTGGTCAGAATGGCTGACACAGGGATTGAACTCGGCCCTCCCCAATGTTAAGTCAGCGCGCTACGTCCTGAGCTACTTCGCTTGGTTCTTACCATATTACAATTTTAAAATGTTTTCAGAATTAATGTTTGCTTTGAGAAAGAATGTTATGGAGCAAAAAGTCTATTTAGTTAAACATTTGAATTTCACGAAGCTCGGCCTACTTGCGTTGTGTTCTGAATTAAATTACTTGATTGTGTTCCAGTCGGAGTATATGAGTCGCTTAGATTACCGATGGAAAAGACGACTTGCGGGCGAACAAGAAGAAGCTGAAACAACACGTTTGGTCAATAAAATGCTTCTTCAGAATATTCTTCCTATACATGTTGGTATGAAAAATTTATCTCCAATAATTCCTTAAAAAACACAGAAGTGTAGAGTATAACACTTAAGTGTATCAGTAGTGTTGTATTTTGTGTTATACGACAATGTACAGTTCAATAAAATTTTACAATATAACAGTTTGCTTCACTTTTCCAGCTGAGTTATACCTTAATCCTGACCGAACGCAGGATGGAGTGTATCACGAAGAATATGAAAATGTGGCTGTGATGTTCGCCTCTTTGGTGGATTTTGCTCCAGATGAAATTGATGGCCATGAATCAAACGAAATGGGAAGCCTTAAACTTCTGAATACAATAATATGCGATTTTGACAAGGTATGAGTTCTGCACAGTGCTCTCCACATTTAAAAAATGTATAGCCATAGGAAGTATACTGGCATCTCAAAACAAATGTTAGGACATCTGGTGAGTGGAAGTTGATCACTTTGTGCAAACGAACATGCGTTGAGAAATCTCATTTAATGCAGTTACGCATATGTTATTTACCGCTCACAATAGGAATTTATCTTGCACTGGCATTTTGCAGGTACATGAAATCTCTTTCACTGCGTCTGAACACAATTTATTCCTATCCTCACTTCATTACTTCGTTTGTTATAAAGTTTTAGTCCATAAGTGGGCCACGAACAGACACATTCCATTTATTAAATCATCGTAATACACAATCATACAAATTCTATTTATTTTAGGTTCCTTGGGCAAGAATGCACATTTGGAAATATCTTTGTAAAAATTTGATTTAACTTTGTTTCCTTAGCGTTACACCTAATTACTGAAAGATCTCAGGTCACCTGCTTCCTTTATTTACTTAATATGTCTAATCATTTTTCTTTTTTTTATAAATACGTGGCAGAACGTTCAATGCAACGTACACTTACAGCCTGTTGCGAAGCGTGACATCCTTAATGTTCACAGAATATTGTGTAAGATTCACAGAATCTTGTGTAAGAATCACATTATCTTATGTATGAAGATTCACAGAATCTTATGTATTGCATATCATAAGATTTACAGAATGTCGAGACTTCAATTCTAGAGTGACGGAAACAATGTGTTGCAATATTTCCATAGGTTGCTCCATCTCTTATGCAAATTATTGTAGTCTACAGTAAAGGCCAAAGGCCTCTCCCTGTCTTCGTAAGCTTGTTACGAGGACATTTTACGGCTTCGATGTGCGGAACGGGTAGAGGGACGGAAAAGGAACGGAATGATCGCGTGCGGTGAGTGGCCCATTTGTATTACATGCTACTGCGATATTCGCCTGGACGCGTCAAGCCCCTCAAACCCGCTGATTTTCAACACACCCAGCAAATATCTGGCTCCTTTGCAAGGATCGATCCGGCAAACTCCTAGTCATCGGCGAGCTCGAGCATCAGGGATTGATCGTTTCTGCTGTCAGTGTCTTAATCTTAATGGCTCCGAAATCTACGTTACGTTAATGATTTCTGCGTTTTACGTATGTACGTAGTAAAGAAAAATTCTGAAATGATAGCGCAAATAGTATCGAATTTTTGGCACAAAAACTCATATCGTGGGATTTTAAGGAGAGAAGTGGGTAAATTTAGTTCCTATATGTAATAAATTACCTCCTTTATCACCTTGTATAGTTCACACGCGGCTCCTTGATACTAAAACATGGATTGAGAAAATGTTCGTGTATTGCGGTGTTGTGCACTCAAAATTTTGCAAAAACTACTCATTTATTTAAAAAAATGCACATTAACTTATTTCAAGATGTGTTTGAATAATATATTTCATGAAGAAAACTAGTGGTGCTACAACATCACATTATTCAATTTTTTGCGATTTTCGAAAATTGAGAAAGAGCATCTGTGACGGAAACAGCTGAATTGTTTAATGTTTTCCCAGTATTTCCCCATCCACGGTAATGACAGCATACACAAAACATCATCGGCGAAGAGGAATAGTGCGCGAAAGCCGAAGTTTTATGTTGAAAAACATAAGTTATATATATGCTTCCCTAAATGTATGTACGATGTGCGTACTTACGCATGAAGAGGCATGTTGTTCAAAATGTCACAATATTTACGAGTACATTTACATTACACAAAAATATATGAAATTACAGTGAAAAGCAGAAATGAGGTCAAGAACCTCCGAATTGCCTCAACGAGGACACCCGAGAGCGACATACAACGACCCATGACCCGCACGATGATTCTCAATTGAGTTATTTAATTTGCCCGGTGTTGAGCTTTCCGTCTTATAATGCTTGGAGCAGCTGCTTCGTAGTGCCTTGGACCCGCTACGGAAACCTTTATTGTGTTTGAGCCCCACTGCATATCTTGCGCTACCTTCAATAACAGATCATCCCTACCCGCCATAATTTATCTTAACTGAATTTCAGTCACTTCTCTCTTTTGTGAGTGCCCAACATACTAAGTTTCCAATCAATAAAATACATACTTTACTGGCTATATTAGGACTGCTTGCTGCCTCTTTCAACGCACAATGCGTCGCCACCCTGAACTATGACCTTCTGATACACTTTCATGGCCTTGAACAACACGTATCTTGCTCTGGGGTTATGATTTTCAACGCGGAGAAGGGAGACGCGTGAAGAGAAGCCATGCTCGTACACCTTCCCACGCTCAGAGAGTCGGAAGAGAGGGGATTCCCCTACGGACTACGCTTTGAGAGACAAGAGACCCCAAGGTCGAATTCTACGCTGACAGCTTTCAATGTCCTGGGCAGTATTAAATCACAATAATGACACCGGTGATAGTGTAATAGAGATAGAGAACTAAAAATCAGCTTGCAGATGCATTTATTTCATGAAGAACATCTCGCGTTTCTGTGCGAATAGAATTAAATTCACAGGAGTTCCGTTTCATAAAGATTTTTTCCCTTGCCGAACATGAATATACCGTTCAGTTTCCGCGTTGGAGAGGTTTGTTTTATGTTGAATAAAATGCCATTTAACTTGACGGGCCAGAGGAATTTTCCGGTTTTGGCAGGTCTCCGCCTTGTACAGGTTCCGGTTTAGAGAGATATGACTTATAACATTTATAATAAACACCTTAATAACACTACATACCACAAATATTATAGATAAGAGAAATAGGAAGATAAGGAAGGAAGATAAGAATATAGAATATAGGAAGATAGTTTCGTGACTTGGAAATACTTATTTATAACATTCACGATTTCTACTATGCTGTAAGGGAAAGTCGAAGAGAAAAGTGTCTTATTATAGATAGGAAAACACTTATTGTGCTTTAGGATACTTTACATCTAAGACATCTTCGGAATTTTCTCCGAAATGGTTCCAAATGTTTTCCATGATTTTTTTTTCTCGAATAGAGAAAAGTAGGCTTATAAGAACGATGGAGATCCAATTTTGATTAACACATCTACGGTTTCCCAAATTGCAAAATAATTTTTTCTTCGCTCTTCCTATACTACATTATTGAAGAAAGATTTTATTTTTTTCGCAATACTTCATAAAAAGAGAAAGTATTGTAATTAAGAGCCAAAAACTGTTCTTGTTCGACAGAAAATACTTGTTGCTAAGCCCTGGTAGTTTACTTTAAGGAAAAAATATCTTATCTACAATATTGTTGTTTTAGACCTATAATATTGAAGATAGAGATTTTTCCCCTTAATGGAAGCTGTTATTGAAAGCAGAACTTGAATAATGGTCATGTACGTTTACAAATGTACAAAGATATGAGTGGTATTCTCGTAATTTTTGTTAAATGTAGGTAATATTTAAACAAATATTTTCCTAAATTTGTCTTTAAATTTTTTCCTCCTATGTATCAAAGAACCGTAAAATAGTGATGGAGGTCCCATTTTAAGCGAACTCTGTATTTTAGAAAATTACAAAACGTTAACATTGCAATAGGTATTGAAAATAGAGCTTTTTGTTTTAAATGAAATGTGTTCTAAAAATTAGATTTTTAAAATAAGTTATGAACAATTATTTGGAAAAGGTGTAGTTTTTATTTATTTTGGCTTGAAGTTAATGCAAATTATAAAAAAAAAACAATTTCCCCAAAACCGCTTCATTTTTTAAAATGTTTCTTCCACGTATAGAACAAGGGATGCTTAAAAGACTTAACATCAATAGTTTATAATTCAAATGTAAAGATGAAACGTTCGAATGTCTTGCAACCGCAACCATTAACTATGTGCTAAACGTATTCCAGCGATATTTGAAATTGTTACAGATTTTATTTGAAAAGAACATATTGAACCGTGTGGAGAAAATCAAGATGGCTGGTTGGACTTACATGGCAGCCTCTGGTCTAGACCCAGGAAGACGGGACTCGCTAATCTCCAATCCTGAAGAACAGACTTCAGAGCACATCGTGCCAGTTCTTGTGAAATTTGCGGCGAGAATGATGCAAACTCTTCAAAGAATAAATGAGGAAAAAAAGCATACTTTTAAACTACGAATTGGTAATTAAAAAGTATTGCATTTTGTAATTCAAATTATTACAACAATAACCACGATGCTTTCAACTATGAACGTTTTGTCTTCAGGAATATCACATGGACCTGTAACAGCAGGTGTTGTTGGTGCTCAAAAACCTCTGTACGATGTTTGGGGTGATGCAGTGAATATGGCTTCTCGAATGGATTCTACGGGAGAGTCTGGAAAAATTCAGGTAGTGTTGGCTCCAGCTGCTGCTTAAGACCTCTAGTGCAGCGCCCTCCCTCGAACAATCAATCATAGAAAGAGTTGTAGAATGAATCGTATATTTAATACATTGATTTACTTTATGCAACCCAGCATCGCAGATATCGAGATTGAATTCAATATCATGCATCCTCACAAACGAAGGTTCAATATTTTTTTATAATGGGTCTCACAGCAGACTCCCGCATCATCGTCCGTAGCTGGTGCATTCGGAGGAACTAGGAGTTGGGTGGGGGCAGAATGTTTCTAGTGCTTTTTCGTATTGCAGAATCTGGGCCTTTCAACTGATAGAACATTTACCCTTTCATCTGATTTCATAAATTAATATTTTGATTGTTACGATATTTTGTAAAAATTTTATATTTTCATGTGGACAGTCTTATTTTATTAATGTCAAAATGCCTTACACAAGAACTATAATTCTGTTATATGGAAATCATTCGTAAATTACATGCTATAATTTGCCCTCAGTAAAAATATACTAAACAGACAAAATATATGTGATTGTTCGGGTTCACATGCCTCTCTTAATTAGCAACGCACCCTCCGCCACTGGTTGGCTCCGATAAACTTAGAATAGATGAAAATTAAGTAAACTTGTTCAAAGGTCACTTAAACTTTTTCACCTTGACCGATATTCGAGCCCGAGCCTTCTGGTTTTCGTCCAGCTGCTCTGACCACTAAGCTACCGAGACAATCAATCCCTTAAAAAGTTTTCACGAGTTCAATTATCGCTCCTTACATGTATATAATAGTCATATCTGCCGCCACCGCCACCAATCGGTCGCCCTGACCAGGTTCAAATCCCGGCCAGGGCAACCGATTCTTTGAACGAAATTAAGTATTTAAATGCATTGTTACTCAGTAGCATGGTCACAATTTGTATTTCTTTACGACCGCGGAACATATTAACCGACCGTAATTGCGTTCAACGAGGTGATGGGAAAGGTGACAATTATGAAGATGAGAATTATAAATTAGTGGACTATATGAAAGGTTTAGTCTTATCACCATGTCATTCGAACAGTTTTCCAGTGGTTGCCATCTGAGAGATTTATTCCCTACAGTAAAAAGAGGAAATGGTAAATGAAATTCCACTTTCCAACAAATAGGTTCATTTTGATTCAGTAATAAAGTAACACCATTTTGAAAACCCATATGAAATGTGAGGTCTTAAAATGACAGATACTGGTCTTGGTTGGCGATTGCAAATTTACTTAACTGGAAACGATACATACCAAATTATACTGAAAAGCGAAAAATAACTGGTACAGCCATGCGAATTGAAATAAAAAGATCTCGAACCAATCAGAAAACGGCTGTCCGCAATGCGGCGATCGGCAACGACTATATAAGACAACCAGAGTCTGGCACAGATGTTTGATTGGTTACTGCTGCTACAATGGCAGGTTATCACGATTTAAGTGCGTTTTAACGTGGTGATATGATCGGTGCAAGAGTGATGGGGCATAGCGTCTCCGAGGTCGCGATGAAATTTGGATTTTACCGTGCGATCATTTCAAGAGTGAAAGTCAAGAATCCCGTAAAACATCAAACTTCCGACATCGCTGTGTCCGCAAAAAGATCGCGCAACAACGGTACCGACGACGACTGAGGAGAATCATTACACGTGACAGAAGTGCAACCCTTCCGCAAATTGCTGCAGATTTCAATGCTGGGCTATCAGCGTGCGAAACATTCAACGAGACATTATCAACATAGCGTTTAGATCCGACAGTCCTCTCGTGTATCCTTGTTGGCTGCACAACACAAATCTTTACGCCTCACCTGGACCCGTCAACACTGACTTTGGACTGTTGAAGACTGGAAACATGTTGCCTGGTCTGACGATTCTGGTTTCACATTTTTTCGTGCAGATGGACATGTACGAGTATGAAGGAGGTTCTGTGATAGTGTGGGGTATTTGGAGTGATATGGGACCGCTGATACGTCTAAATACGACTCTGTTACGTACGTAAGCTCACTGTCTAATCACCTGCACCCATTCTTGTCCATTGTGCATCTTCAAAAAATTCTGCCATTCCAGCAGAACAATGTGACAGCCCACACGTTCAGAACTGCTACAGAGTGGCTCCAGGAACACTCTTCTGAACTTAAATACCAAAATTCCCAGACATGAATATTATCTGGGATGCTTTGCAACGTGCTGTCCAGACGAGATCTCCACCCCCTTGTACTCTCACGAGTTTATGTACAGCCCTGCAAAATTCATGGTGGCAATTACCTCCAGCATTACTTCAAACATTAGTTGAATCCATACCACATCGTATTGTGGCACTTCTGAGTGTCACAATGGGGGCCTTGCACGATATTCGGCCTTGCTATTTACGCCTCTGCTTGCTGTTGCAGGAGCATAATCATCTGCGCCAGGCTCGTGACTGTCGTGGACTCCATTTTTCTCGCCACCAAGTTGTTGTGATCTAAATAAGTACACTCGGATTGCAGGATTCGCAAAGTACAAGTTTCGTTGATGGATGCTCAGTTTACGATAATTCACAATCGTACTCTAAACAATGCTGAGATCAAGGTAGCTGGAGAGAAATACCGTAAACAAAGCGTAGTCGTAGTGTCAACAGAAGATATGCCAAGTCCATAGCAGCAGGCCCCACTTCCATCAGGAGCCAATAACGTAAGCGCAGTGCAACATGCAAGTTCGTAAACCGTCTCCACCTCACACTGTTGCACTCGTTGCACCTCACACTGCCGGGCACCAGTCATCAGCACAGTTCCGTCTGGCCGCTTAGAACAATGCCGCCACACGCCCCTGCATTGTCCCCCCACTCGCCATCCTTATCCTTGCAGACAACTATGGCTGATCTGTAACAATATGTCAGAGGTCAGGAAAGACATTAGCCGTTCGGCGCCTTTCGCCGTTGTTCACAGCAATTCTCTTGTCAGTATTGACGTTTCGCCCGTTTCGCTGTTTCGGCGATACCTACTACAGCATACCTCTCGGGCACTTACACTACTTGGCCGTCGGGTTCGGCTCGTACAAGGCTAATTTTTTTAATTGCGTTTTACGTGTTTAGTTTTGAATATAATTTGGATCGGCCCTCAGTAAACTCCACTTGCTATCCGTCCTGGCACCTCTCGTTTATGCCCAGACGGCGCAGTAATCTCAGCGCTGCACTAACACGGACGAGTGTAAAGAATGATGGGTAACCGACACTAGGTTGGTGCTCACTCGTCAGCAGCTTATACTCACTTGCCTTATACTGCTTGCCTGCACTTATACTTCGATTTAAACATAGTGACGTCTCAAGGTTATGAGCTGGAAGAAGACTCCCCCGAGCTGGACAATGAGGGGGGAGCACTGTCATCCAGTCGGGAGCTTCAATACCAACAATTTAAGTCGTAACGAAGCTCCCGATTGGATAACAGTGCCCCCCCCACATTGTCCAACTCGTGACCTTGAGAAGACACTGCGTTTAAATCGGAGAATAGGAGGGAGCCACCAATCCATGCGGTCCCAAGTGCCGGTCCCTAGACGTTACGACGTAGCTCACGGCGGGCGTTTTAAAGTTGGTGTTGCCACGACGGGCAGAATAGCAGGAAAAATTACGACAGTTCTGTATCGAGTGCGGCCCTCGGATTGCGCCAGATATTAGGTCATCAGAATCTTAACCCGCCATCCGGCCGTTAGAACTGCACTGCACTCGTTCACAAATGTCGCTAATGGCTTCATCGGCTTCAAATGGCTTCAAGTCTTGAAAGTAGGCATACAAATGCATTGAAATACAGGCTGCGTCGGAATAAAAAAATACAAAACCACACTTTCTACGAGGAATCTAGGCTGCGGATCCCTAAGCGATAAGAGAATTATATTTTACTAAAATTATGAGGAACGCACTGGTTTATTTGTTTATTTCACCTAAAATTACTCACTTTGAGTTTGTTTCTTTACGCTCTTACGCACGTGCCTTTTGTGAGCTAGCATTGTCTAATTGAACAAAACAAAACAGTCATTCCGGGCTTCTTCACACACACACACACACACACACACTGACAGGGCATGGATGTTACCGGCAGTATCAGCTCCGATTCCGGCTGGACGATAGCTCATCATGCCCAAGGTGTTTCCCGGTGATTGAAGATGTAGAACACGTGTTCTTTCATTGTCCACGCTTCACAGTGGAAAGGGAAGAACTTCACAGACTCCTCCAAGAGGAAGTGACCCCTGAGACCATCGTCACTAGGATGCTGCTGACACAAGAGAATTGGAGTGCGGTAGCCACCTATGCCGCAAAGGTCCTGAAGACGCTCCGCTCCGAGGAACAGTTACGAAGAAGACTCCCGTAATATTTCGGTGACGTGCGAAAAGCCCATCCTTCCTTCTCGCGATGCAATGCCTGACGGCGGTTCCGCGGGAAGGAATAGGAGGAAAGGGAGGGGTTTTTAGTGGGTAGGCATAGGCTAGCTATGAATCCCACACTCAGCGGGTTGCGGGCCCCGCTGTGTCTTCAGAAGATTTTCCCCTGCCCACGTAAAAAACACACACACACACACACATATATTCATTCTAGCTAACCCACCTACAACCACAACTTACCACCTTCACAGTAGCACGCATGAACCGTAAGCGGGTTATCAAGATTTTTCTCGACGCCGAATACTCCTACCTAGTAGTCGTTGCAGCGGCAAACAATATCTTAACTAATGTTAACGAA